GATGGAAACGCCTTCAGCGGTTCGGCCTTGGCCACCAGTGTGTTCCAGTGCCTCCTCCAAGCCCGAAGCCATGGCGATGAGTTCGGATATTGCCGAGCGAAACTAGAACGTGATCAGGGGTATCGAAGAAGCTGTCACCACACAAGAAGCATCACGAGGTTTAGGTGTAGGCACGAATGGATGTTGAACGTTGGACTAGGCAAGAGCTCGGTGATATGAGGGGGAAAATATCACAAAGAGAATCAAAATCCACTTGAAACTTTGTAGGGCGCCAACCTGATCAGCTGTGGGGGGGTAAGTGAAAGATAATGTCGAAATTGGTCTTTGATTAATATCCTGATTAATGAGGTGAGTGGCGCAAGGGTTGAGCTGGCAGTTCGATCAAGAAAGGAACACTGATGAACAGGGATGATTGGAGGAAACGTGGGAGCGCAGATCGAGGATGCATACAATGACATCAGGCGCTAGGTGAAACACCAAACAAGTCACGGCGGCTTTGGAGTCTAGTGAAAGGAGACAGATGATTCTTGCAAGTTAGCGCTTCAGAGTTTCATGTTCTATATTTATAACAAGGAATATGATTTCTGATCTAAGATATATTATTATTTGCACATGCATAGTACGGAGTACAGTAGTGAAGCTTTTTGATGAGTTGCCCTGGGAGGAAAAAAAAAAGGGAAAGAGCGGTGATTGGCTTATGTGTTGAAGGTGTGGCAGTGCATTGAGTGATAATGGATACATCAGCCACATCCCTGAAGAGCCAGGAACTACATGTGGCTGGAGAAAACACGTGGGCCCAAAGAGGAAACCACTTAACGCGTGAGTCGCGTCGACCGTGGCAGAAACCGCGTTCCGCCTACAGCTTTTTGCTCTCCCTTTCTTCACTTGTATCCCACACCAAACACCAACCCACCTGACCTTTGTCTGGTATCAACACATTAATTCATATCCACCATGTCGTCACCAGCACAAAGACGGAGGGGTCGCTCCTCCAAAAATTCAACTGCATCGCCTAGTTCTTCATCCCGACAGGAGCCTCCTAGCAGCCCGACTTTTCAAGCCACTCCCCGTGCCTCGAGACGTCTAATGGCCGAGGGTGTCGCACCCTCGTCGTCCCCTATATTTTTCCAATCATCTCCGACCAAGGGTAATAACGATGCTGAAACCCCAGACGAACGTATGGCCGATGCCAGTTCAACAGTAGATGATGGCGACAGAACACCACGAGGAAACCCCGGTGTGAGAGGTATGGATTTTATCTTAGCAGAGCAGTACTTTTTTTTTCCAATATAGATCCCTGACCTCCCATCAGACTCTTCTCCCATTCACTACATTCCAAGTTCTAGCCCAACTCGAGGCTTCGGTCGGTCTGATCTCCGTTCCGATATCCGCTCCGATGCATTGAGCACCGCCAGCAGCGGGTTATTTGTGTCACCCGGAGGCCAAGGCCGACGGGGTCCTCGTCGCAGTGATTTGCACTCCGGTGGCTACGGGTCTACTCCTAGTCGCCGTAACCGTGTGTTCGTTGATGCCAATGGAATCCCCACAGGTGATAACTTGCCTCGCTCTGATGCTACCTTCTCGAATATCAATCCTGGCACCTCCGAGGCTGAGGCCATGGCCGGAAACTCCACTCGTGTGATTTGGGGTACCAACATTTCTATCCAAGATTCAATGTCGGCATTCAAGAACTTCCTGTATAATTTCGCTACGAAATATCGCCTCTGGGCTGACGGCGCCACCGAGGACGAAACCAGACTTATGGGAGAATTAGCAGAGAGGCATGAGTGCATTATCATGTGTAACAACATGCGACGACTCGGTGTCACCACATTCAATCTCGATGCTGCTAATCTGAAGTCATACCCATTGACACGCAAGCTGTGGCACCAACTTTCCGCATATCCGCAAGAAATCATTCCTCTGATGGATCAAGCTTTGAAGGATGTGATGGTGGATCTAGCCCTTAAGGAAATGGATGTTCTTCGGTCAGAGAGCCAACGCGCTGCTCAACCTCGTGACCGACGTGGTCAGCCTATTCTCACCTCGGACAATGTGCTTCCTACTGCCGACGTGCCGGACCTGGTTGGTGAAGTGGAGGCAATGATCTTCAAGGTGCTCCCCTTCGGTCTGGATCAGACTGTGAACATGCGCGATCTCGATCCGGCCGATATGGACAAGCTGGTCAGCATCAAGGGATTGGTCATTCGTGCTACCCCCATCATCCCCGATATGAAAGAAGCCTTCTTCCGGTGCAGCGCCTGCAGCTATGGCGTGCAGGTCGACATTGATCGTGGCAGAATTGCCGAGCCCACCGTTTGCCCTAGGGACTCTTGCAAAGAGAAGAATTCCATGCAGCTCCTCCACAACCGTTGCTCCTTCTCTGATAAGCAAGTCATCAAACTCCAGGAGACCCCAGACAACATTCCTGATGGTCAGACTCCTCACTCGGTCTCTCTGTGTGTCTATGATGAGCTAGTCGATGTTTGCAAGGCCGGTGATCGTGTGGAGGTGACTGGTATCTTCCGATGCAACCCCATGCGTGTCAGCGCTCGTCAGCGCTCGCAGAAGTCCCTCTTTAAGACGTACATCGACGTTCTTCATGTGCAGAAGTTTGATCGTAAGAAGATGGGCATTGACATGTCCACAGTCGAGCAAGAAATGTCCGAGCAGGCAGCAGAAGCAGATCAGGCACGTAAAGTCTCGGCCGAAGAAGAAGAGAAGATTAAACGAACTGCTTCTCGTCCCGACATCTACGACCTGCTGTCGCGTTCTCTGGCGCCCAGCATCTACGAGATGGACGATGTGAAGAAGGGTATCTTGCTGCAGATGTTTGGAGGCACTAACAAGACCTTCCAAAAGGGAGGCAACCCACGCTACCGTGGCGATATCAACGTCCTTCTGTGTGGTGACCCCTCGACCTCCAAGTCCCAACTACTGCGCTATGTTCACAAAATTGCCCCGCGCGGTGTTTACACCAGTGGTAAGGGTTCGTCGGCTGTTGGTTTGACTGCCTACGTCACTCGTGACCCGGAGACTCGCCAAATGGTTCTAGAATCCGGTGCCTTGGTTCTGTCCGATGGTGGTGTTTGCTGTATTGATGAGTTCGATAAGATGAGTGATTCCACGCGCTCCGTCCTCCACGAGGTCATGGAACAGCAGACCGTCTCTATCGCTAAGGCGGGTATCATTACTACCTTGAACGCCCGAACATCCATCCTGGCCTCTGCCAACCCCATCGGCAGTAGATACAACCCTAAACTCGCTGTTCCGCAAAACATTGATCTGCCACCTAGTCTGCTCTCTCGTTTCGACTTGGTATACCTGGTCCTTGATCGTGTCGATGAGACTGAGGATCGTCGTCTGGCCAAGCACTTGGTCGGCATGTATCTCGAGGATAACCCTGAGAATGCCAGCTCACAGGAGATTCTGGTAAGTGACCTTTCCTGTGCGATGAATTAGAGAGATTTTTAACAATTCTATCTAGCCTATTGAATTCCTCACGGCCTACATCACATACGCCAAGACCAACTGTCACCCTGTGATCACCCCAGCTGCGGGTGCCGCACTCACCGATGCCTACGTGGCTATGCGCCAGCTAGGTGATGACATCCGCGCCCAAGAGCGCCGTATTACTGCCACCACTCGACAGCTGGAATCGATGATCCGACTTTCTGAGGCGCACGCGCGCATGCGTCTGTCCCCCGAGGTCACCGTTGGCGATGTCGAGGAAGCCGTTCGTCTCATCCGCTCTGCCATCAAGGCGGCCGCCACCGATGCCCGAACCGGTCTTATCGATATGGGCCTTTTGACCGAAGGCAGCAGCGCCGCCGACCGCCGTCTACGCGACGATCTGAAGAAAGCGGTGCTGGCCCGCCTTGATGAACGTGGCGGTGTTTCTGGTGGTGCGGTCCGCTGGACTGACCTGTATCGCGACGTGAGCGAACAGAGCGATAACAAGCTTGACCACCAGCAGTTCGGTGATGTGGTGCGCTCGCTGGAGACGGAGGGTGCCGTGAATGTCTTCGGTGAGGGTCCTCGTCGCAGTATCCGCCGGGCGGCCATGAGCATGTCCTAGGGGGCCCCGATGATACCATGATGTGATGATAGATTAGGCTGCATGTCATCTCTGACTGAGGGTGTTCTGGCGTTCGTGTTTTTATGGATAATGCTATGGGATTCCTTCCCAGAATTTTTGTATATTGTAGATTCGATTCATAATACTTTTCAACTTTCTCATTTCCTAAAATCGCTTCGAAATTACATCTTAAAAAGGAGCTATCACATGCATCTAGACCCCTTACGGGCAATGCCACAGGAGGGGCGATCGTCTTGCAGAGTTATATCCCTGTCTAAGTACAAAGATGGAATTAGAGAGCATCTTTGGACGTGAGGATTGGAATATGTGGTAGTCTTGGTATTTTCTCGGAGATATAAATAAACAACCATACGAAAGAAACAGGAACAGAGTCCTGGAAGTGCTGGAGGTCCTAGAGGTAAACACCCGCAGACTAACAGACTGCCCACGTGCGCCCATGACTGGCCAGATTGTTAACGTCACCAAGGGGTGGATGTATTGCGAATACATAATTACCATACCAAAATTACCAAAGTACATCTAGATCGTCATGACCATTCTCATTATAACCAACATACAACATCTTGATCGAGATTTGGAACTACATAAAACAAAATCAGATATTGAAATGTCATTCCGTAGCTATCTGGCAAGCGAAAGTCCCCAATCTTAACAATCTGTATCATATCGTCTCTCCTCGACTAATTGCACGCACCCGCTTTGATGACATGGGGCCGTCACCCGCTAGTCATCGGACTAGCCGAGTTCGGGAGACCCATATCTCTTGGGACTTCTGTTCGGAGAGCTACAACCCTCCAATTTTGGCTTCCCTGCTCCCCTCACCGGGATATTTTTCTTTCTTCTCTCCTCCCGTCATGAGCTTGGGATAAACCTCAATTCCTCACAATTTTCCCTGCCCACCATGAGGTGTGTAACTCCTATCCTCCAGTCATTGCCAATTCCCCCCCCCGCGCTTTTAGCATACTAATCCAATTGTTCCATAGGTTCGGTGAATATCTCCGTTCTTCCATGATCAAGGAATACTATCCTTACTACATTGCCTATGACGAGCTTAAGAAAGCTCTCAAGACTGATTTTGTCGACGAGCCAACCTCCGATAACACCAAGCCCGCCCGCAAAGAATGGACAGAGGAGGATGAGACACACTTCGTTTCCTTGCTCGAGAGCGAGTTAGAGAAGGTATTCCTATTCCAGAAGCGCAAGAGCGAAGAGATTGTCGCCCGTATTCAAGAAAGCGAGGTCGAAGTGAACGATGTTGTCTCCCGCCTGGAGAACTCGGCCGATTCCCGTCGCCAGAGTACTCGAAGCGCTCGCTCCGTGCCCACCGATGCAGATTTCTTGATGCTTGAGCAGGTGCTCAGCGATATCATTGCCGATGTTCACGACCTGGCCAAATTCACTCAATTGAACTACACGGGCTTCCAGAAGATCATCAAGAAGCATGACGTATGTTTTCCTTTCCAATTTTCAAGTCGGCCCCCAATCCCCTAACAATCGCACAGAAACAAACTCATTGGTACCTCAAGCCAGTCTTCGCGACACGTCTGAAGGCTAAGCCTTTCTTCAAGGATAATTACGACGCTTTTGTGATTAAACTATCCAAGTTGTATGACCTAGTCCGGACCAAGGGTAACCCGGTCAAAGGTGACGCCTCCGCCGGTGGCACCCAACAAAACTTTGTGCGTCAAACCACAAAATATTGGGTCCACCGGGATAATATAACGGAATTGAAGCTGGTGATCTTGAAGCACTTGCCAGTGTTAGTCTTCAATGCCAGCAAGGAATTTGAAGAGAAGGACACGGCCATCTCCTCCATCTACTTTGACAACACCGACACCTGGGAACTGTATCAGGGTCGCCTGAAGAAAACAGAGGGTGCTGAGGCAATTCGACTGCGTTGGTATGGTGGGATGGAAAGTGACCAGATCTTCGTGGAGCGAAAAACACACCGCGAGGACTGGACAGGAGAAAAGTCCGTCAAGGCGCGTTTTGTGCTCAAAGAAAAAAACGTGAACGCCTATCTCAATGGCCGCATGACGGTTGAGCAGGTCTTCGACAAGATGCGCAAGGAGGGTAAGAAGAGCCCGTCGGAGATTGACGATTTGGAGCAATTAGCCCGCGAGATTCAGTACCGCGTCATTACTCGCCGCTTGGTGCCTGTCACCCGTACTTTCTACCACCGCACTGCCTTTCAACTGCCGGGTGATGCTCGTGTTCGAATCTCTCTTGACACGGAACTGACCATGATCAGAGAGGATAACCTGGACGGCCGCCAACGGGCTGGAAACAACTGGCGTCGTATGGATATCGGAGTCGACTACCCATTTTCCCAGCTACCTCCCGAGGATATTGACCGGTTCCCCTATGCTGTGCTGGAGGTGAAACTACAGACCCAGGCAGGCCAGGAACCTCCTCAGTGGATTCGCGACTTGACTTCCAGTCACTTGGTTGAGGCAGTCCCGAAATTCAGTAAATTCATCCACGGAACAGCGACCCTGTTCCCTACTCGCATCAACCTTCTTCCATTCTGGTTCCCGCAGATGGGTGTAGACATCCGCAAACCTGCCACCCGCCAATTCGGTATCCACAGACCGCCAGCGAGTACCTCGATATCCGCCAATGATGACGATTCGGATGATGACGAAAGCCCGAGTCCGCAAGAAAGTGCACTAGACGGACAGCATACAGAGCATCAAAATGGATTGTTTGAAACCAATGGCAACGAATTGGATATCGAAGAACGCATTGCCGCCCAGCCCCTGCCCGGCGACGAAGACTACCCCTTGTACGACTCGGACGACGAATCGGTATATTCCGACGAACTCGAAGAAGCTCGTCGCATAGGCGGTGCTTACTACGCGCAGCAGTTGGCCAAACACTACCTCTCTCGGGCTGGCCACGCTGTCGCACATGGTCTTATGGCGATAATCCCCCGGCCGCGTCCAACATCCCTGCCTCCCCCGAACAGCGTGGTATCGCTGTTTTGAGCAACCACCAACGAACCCTACAGCGATTCCAGGCTCCCCCGGGTAAACGTAAGTTTCACCTCCATGCTATTACGTGCATCACCCAAACTAACACCAAACTAGGCATCTTCGTTCCCATCCGCGTGGAACCAAAAGTCTACTTCGCCGCCGAGAGAACTTTCCTCTCCTGGTTAGAATTCTCCATCATCCTCGGTGGAATTGCCGCAACACTCTTAAACTTCGGCTCTGACTCAGCCACCCTCGTCTCATCCTGGGCCTTCACCATCCTCGCCGCCGGCGCCCTCGTCTACAGTCTCTTCCTGTACATCTGGCGCGTCGACAAGATCCGCAAGCGTCGCGACGTGAAGCGCGTCTACTACGAGCGCTGGGGTCCGACGGTTGTCAGCATCGGTCTCGTCGTGATCATCTTGATTAACTTTGCGCTGCGCGTGCGCGCTGGTGGGTTTATGGCTGCGCCGGGGTCAGAGGGCGAGCCGAGACATGGCAAGCATGGCGAACTGTAAAACTGTTCATTTGTTTGGAAAAGAAGAACCGAACCCGTTCTCTTTATCTCTTTTGGGAGTTTTATCACTTTCTATACTGCTGTTGAGGTCTTATCTTTGTATCTACTGGTGTTCGGGTTGGGGCGTTGGGGGATTGTAAATCATGTACAAACCGCATACATACTTTTGCATATATGAGAATAACACTCGATTGGTGCCAAAGTTCTGGTTTCCTTCTATTTTGAAGATCTTGTTGACCTGGAGATATAACATACGAAGTATTCAGGGTTCATATGTAACCATTTATACATACAGGACTCAAATGAAAAAGACTTAATTTGGGGTATACATCATAACAAAATCCAACGCTGCCAACCGTAGCCATCGAGGCTATGTACGTGAAAAGAAACGCTCATTCATTCCTCCAACTCGATCTGCATCTCCCGCTCTAGAAAATAGCCCTCGTCAGTATATCTCCGAAACAAATTCTCCAAAGAGTACAACATACCCCAGATCTTAATTGCATGCGCAACAATTGTCTCAGCCTTATTCAACAATTTTGCAGAATACCTCTCCGTCTCTGTCGGATAGAGTTGACTCTTCTGCGCTTTGCGAGGATTGGCCTAGCCATACGAGAGACGCGTTAGCAGGTGATCATACACATACACACCCAGGCGTAATGCCCAAGAGACAAGCAGGAACAATGCCAGAAAAAATGCCCAAACATACCATCATAAGAACAGGAACTAAATCTTTCGGCTCAGCCTCAGCCAAAGCCCTTAGATTCCTAAATCCATTGTCCCTAAGTAACCTCGCCGTCCAACTCTTGACAAAAGTAACCTGTGCCATCTCGAGCAGGTCCGCGCGCGCGCCAGCCTCGAGTCTATCGCGCATGTGATCCAACACGGCAGCCATCATGCCCCAGTTCATACGTTGGCAGAATTTGACGATGCCGGCGGCGAAACCGTGGCACTGCTGTGCTAGGGTTTGGACTGTGCCGCGGGGGATGTTGTAGCGGTGGGCTATTGTTGAGAGGGGTATTTCGTTGCTGAGATCGCGGAGTTGAAAGGCTGTGTAAGCTCGGCGGTAGATGCGGGCTTGGTTTATTTGGGCTGGGGTTGTTTCTTTCAGGGAGGCGCCTGATTGGACCCTGGTGGTTGGGTGTTAGTTTGGGATTAGGTCGGGTTGGGAGTGTGTGTAGGATGGATGGAGTAGGGAGGGGAAGGGGTACGAGACGTACATTGTGTTGACGAAACCAGGTTGGACTCCGACGAATTGTAGAGCGCGGAGACCGCTCTCATCTAGCCTGTCTAATTGATCGCGGAAGATTTGCCAATCGATGGGGGTGTTCATTGCTGCTTGGAGCGGGGTGAACATGTAGAAGATGTGCATGTCACCGTCCATGACGAAGGCCTGTAATGCTCTTTTCAGCTCTTCGTGAACGAAAAGGCCGTCTTCGGGGGAAAATGACGAGGCCACGACTGCCTGTCCTAACGGCGTGGCTTCGTAGGATTCGTCATCTCGGAAAATGAGAAGTTCTTCGTCGACTAGTTCCTGGAGAGCGGATTTCATGATGGTGTATGCGATCTTTTTGTCCAATGAGCGGTAAAGAAGCGTGCATCGAACATATTCTTTGATTGCTTCGCAGCCGGATACTAGTCCTGTTGCTACAGCTTCGAGCAAAGCCCTTTAGGATGTGAGCGAATGATTCGGGGGAAATAATATAGGGATGGACGAGGAATACATACCGCTTGAGGCCTCTTTTCTCCGGTGCCAGGCAGCTCTCAATGGCTGGCATGTCAGCGTCCAACAGATCGCAAACAGCCTGCATATCAGCTTTCACGCAGATCAGATAAGTTTCGCCGGCATTGTCTTTGCCCTTCCGGCCAGCACGACCGCACATTTGACGACTGTTTGTTGTCAGCTTCCACTCCTCATTCCCGGGATGGGGCCACATACAGCATAGCTGGACCTACTAGTTCACGGCCCATGCGCGCACCATTGATGATAACTCGTCTCGCAGGGAGGTTGACACCAGCAGCAAGACTACATGTGGCCACGAGGACTTTTATCACACCTTGGTCATAGGCCTGTGCAATTAGCTCCCGCTCTTCGGTGGTCATGCCCGCATCTAAATGGTCATCAGTAAAAGTGAGAGCTCTATCATGAATGTTAGAGAACTCACTGTGAAACCCTGTTCCTCTGATGATTGTTGTTTCCAAAGCTGGGTCCAGCCCACAGGCAAGACTCCGCAGTTCTGCAAGAAGGTCAAGTCGCTTGTTCAACTCTTCGGGCTCCGCTGGCGGCATTGCTTCACCGATAGTCGCAGCATGAAGCTGGCATGCGCTCCGGCTACCACAAAACACCAATGATCCAAACCCAGCGGCTGTAGTTTCGACTGCTAACGCTACCATGGCATTTGTGGCGGAGTTACTGAGCTGCTTGAAGGTAGAAGGTTCAATGATTCGGTGGGGAGGAATGGTGTCGTGTAAAGACGCAGCAGCAGTCAGTTTAGATGCCGTTTGGAACAATTGTCTCGAGGTTGCAGCTGGATAGATTCCATTCTCGTATACCAAGTATTCATCGATGGGGATTGGTCTGTAAGTGGAGATGTAGAACTTGGCGTTCATCCATTGTGCCAACATCTCGGTGTTCTGTAGACCCGTTAGAGTAGTCCACCGAAGGGTTGAACCATAGACTCACGGAAAGGGTGGCACTCATTCCAACAATCTGGATGTCCTGCTGTAATAAAAGCAGCTTCGTGACCATCAATTCCAATAGATAGCCCCGGTGTTCGTCATCGAGCATATGTAACTCGTCGAGAACCACGACTCCCAATTCTCCAATACTACACTCTTCGATTGCGCTGTTTATCAACGAATTGGCCTAATTTAAGGAACATCAGAAGTCTGCAAGCAACACGGAAGGCCAAGCGCGCGTACCTTCTCTATCGTACAAACAGCAATATCAGTATCAGCCCAAGTGGCCGTCGTCCGACTTCCACCAAAGAAGCCGGTCACTCTGATCGTCTTGTGCAATTGCTTCCATCGCCGAGGGAACTTAGAGTCATTTTCATCATGCGGGACATTTCTCTCCACGTCCTGCACAATGCGACGCATCCACTTGAGCTTCTCTTGAACCAAAGCAACATAAGGCAAAACCAATAGCGCTTTACGTCCTGGATTTTCAATAATACGTTTCAAAAGCAGAACATCCGCAACAAGGGATTTTCCACCGCCCGTCGGCGCCGTGTAGACTAAATGACGTTCACCAGAAAGCAGGCCCCTCGCCAACAGACACGACGCCTGCCACGGGTAGATACTTCTAACACCGAGCGCGGCAAAATTGGCCGTGAGTGTGGGCGGTAAGCCATACTTCGGGTTAGACAGGGAGAGCAGAGGGTTCTGACTGGAAGGCGGGGCAATCGATGCAGCCACAGCCTTCTGAGGATCATCCGGGGATGACTCCGCGCCCGCGCCGAGATGAATCCTGCTGGCGGTCAAGCGATGGACGGGGGTGGCTAGTAGGTCCCGGGCAGATTGCAGCGGAACTGATTCCAGTATGTCTGGATTGACATTTTGGCGAGGGAAGGTAGCTTGCTTTACTATTGGGCCGGGTGGGATATCGGGAACCTGCTCTGTGGGCTCTGTCGGTCGCTTCTGTCCTGCCACGGGCGCTACGTGATACGCTTGTCGACGGGCGATATCAATGGATGTCTGGAACCGAGACTGGACTTGACCCGATGTCGACATGCCTTTTAACACAGTTCGGCCATTCGTCTAGGGAGGGAAGAAGGCCAGAGTTTGATTCAATCCAAATTGGCCATCTCTCTGATTTTTGAATATTTGTTTAATATTTGGTGTTCTTTCCCCATGTTTTTGGTTCTACGCGGCTTGGTCTTTGCCTGAGGCGCGATAGATTATATCAGCGGCTATGTCATCCGCTCAGACCACCTGCCCAGGCCAAGGCTGTCTTGACTTGATGTTCCTGAGACGATCGCTGCGTTTCCAATGTACGTATTGCGGGATTATTTTTTCCTATTGCATGCTTTCATGCTCTACATGCTCTGCATGAATTACACTGTATGTTCCGATATGGCACTCCCTTGCTCGGGAACCTACAAGATCGTACTTTGTGTGGAGGCTCGTGTGGATGCCGTTCTTCCAAGCCCTGAAACCCTTCTGACTATCTGGTAAAAGCGCACAACGATCTAAAATCGATAATCATAGCCCCATGTCAACGCCTAGAAACGATTGGGGCGATTTTGTCTACTCTCGTAAGTCGGAGCCGAAAAGGGTCGGCTGACAATCTGGGGCCAACGGTGATGGATCTGCCTCGCGGCTAGACATCGTGGCAACCTGTGAACCTAACCACGTAGATGGATGATTAGGTTGACCCGCACTGGGGAGAAGAGAAGAACAACTTTTGGGGGGAAACGCAAAAATTCCAACATTGGGTGTCCGTTCTGAGGACCAGGCACTCCGTACTCTGTACAGAATCTGAGACCCCGATCGGGGTGGAGGCGTCATAACGATTGTATCATGAGTCGCGCGTACCACCCAATTATGCATTGGGGTTAGCAGGATTCACAGGGTAGACAAGATTCTGAGTATTCAGTAAGTATGGCGATAACACGAACACGGAATTCGGTGTATTGGAATGTGATATATATCGCCATATTCTTCTACATCTCCCCTGGACAACATAGAAAGTTGCCACCGCAGGTTTCGAGAATTGATACCCGGGACTTTTTACATTAATACAGATTGGGCCCATCGTAATGGTGATCACTGTCATTGTCAGGCGGGATGTTTGGATTGTTCCTCGGAGGTCTGATCGCCGTATATATATCTACGATATATATGTATACATCTCACCTTTCTCAAATGTCATTTCCAAGTTGTTACTATTGTCACTGTTGTTACTATTGTTACTACTGTTACTATATTACATATCTACAATTCCATAAATTACCCAGTCCCATGGGTGGATTTCCTAACGGAGTAGTCCGGCACGTTATACCTAAACAGATCACGGCACATCATCCTCGGCCAGTTCTCGGCGGCATCGATCGTCATTGGAGAGAAGTTTAATTACCTATACTCTGTTGTAGTCTGATACCTCTCTCCCTCCCTCTGTGTAATCTCCTACTTGGCTACGGATCTATAGACTCTTTTCTTGCCTCCGAGATTCGTCAATGGGGTGTTTGGTCACACAGGATCAGGCGAACGGGGAAAATTCATAGCAAATAATCTAGGTACAGGTCATGTATTGTATGTGTTTTTTGCCAATATCAGTTCAGCTCCAGACCAGGGCATATATATAAGGCCATTATACACGTTCCGCATACGGATATCGCAGCATTCCTCTAGGAAGAAACATATTGAGCAAGGGAGGTCCAAGGTCCATTGTCTTTGGGGATCCGTCATATTAACATATTGGGACTAGGGGCCTGGTCGGGATCCTCGACTGTCTCTCTCTTCCTTTGCTTTTCGTTTTTTTTTTTTTTTTTTCCCCCTTCCCCATTCCCCGTTGGGCTATATCGTCTTTTTTCCCGCTAAATAACTTTTGACCCGCTTCTCCCGACCCATCCCTCCCTCCACTCTCTATCTACTCTCTTCTCTTCTCTCTCTTTACCTTCTCCCCTATTCAATCACTTTTTATATTCATTTTCTGTAAGTTCCGATTCTTCGATTCTTCGATTCTTCTCCTTCTACCCTATTCAGCCGATTCAACCTATTGTTAGCGTGAATCCCCTATGTTATTCATGTGTTCTCTTGATATCGGAAACACCCTTCAACCCCTGCAGAGAATAAGATCTGACACGGTCCACTCTTTGTCTTTCCCACTTTTTTGATTTTCCCTTCGCAACTCCCTGTGAAGTTCGCGTCTTGCACCGGAGCCCAAATCATATCGGCCATCTGCCCACCTACCCGTATTTTGAGATTTTCTCGCACTTCCTTTTTGCATTCCAACTGGTCCCGCACTTTCAAGGATACGGGTTCCCAACTAATATCCGCCACAGCTCCCTTTGAGCTTTATATTTCCACTTTCTCTCAACTTCTTCTCTATTCAACACCCCCATTCGCCCGTGGATGACTAAAAAGATCACTCAATGACCACTCCCAACTCTCCGGAGGCAGTGGCCGATTCGGCTAATGGCTCCGCCACCGCGTATGGCACGCGATCGAGAGGTCGTAATGCTCCTCGGCCTAATTACGCCGAGGACCGTGATTTAGACGCGGATATCGATCTCTCTGCGCCAAACTCAAAGTCTGCCAAACGGCACAGTGGCGTAGCACTCAACAACATTGTCAATGGCGCTAATGTGGATGAGAAAACCTCAACGCAACCAAAAAAGGGCCTGCCCAACGGTCAGAACGCAAATGGATCGGCCAAAGATGCCATTCCAGGCACCTCTTCATTTTCTGCCAGACCTGAGGATGCAAATGGATCTAATTTGAGAAAACGTAAACAACCCGCCAGCACGCCAAGTTCGACCCCCAACTCGGGCTCTGTGAAGAAAATCTTCACTTCCCCTCCAGGGGATGACGAGGGAGGTTATTTCACCAATATGGTGAGTTTCGAAAACCACGGACCTTATCTCCAGGATGGCCAATTAATAGCCGACGATGGCACCACTTTTGCCCTCAATGGTTTGTTCACACATCTTTCAATGTGATTGATTATGAAACTAATTTTCTTTCCCCTAGATCATGTTTATTTAATTTGCGAACCTCCGGGGGAGCCATATTATTTAGCCCGCATCATGGAATTTCTTCCATCCAAAACAAAGCCGGGTGGCTTGATTGAGGCTATGAGAGTCAACTGGTACTACCGTCCACGAGATATCCAGCGCCATTCTCCCGATAGTCGATTTGTTTTTGCTTCAATGCACTCCGACACCTGTCCCCTTTCTTCATTACGGGGCAAGTGTGACATTCGACACGTGTCAGAGATTGAGGACGTCAGTTGTTACAAGAAGACCAGGAACAGTTTCTGGTACGACAAAATGTTCGATCGATATATCCATCGCCTTTATGATGTCATTCCGACCAAAGATATCATTAATGTTCCGAGCAACGTCAAGAAGGTTCTCGATGAACGCTGGAAATTTATTCTTGTCGAGATTGGCAAAGGGAAAGAATTGACCGGGGCCGTCAAGACGTGCAAGCGATGCCGTTTATATGCTGCAAACTCCGAATCCGTTGACTGCGCGGTTTGCAATTCAACATATCACATGCACTGTGTACGACCCGCCTTAACCAAGAAACCAGCTCGAGGCTTTGCTTGGGCTTGTGCCGCTTGCAGTCGCGCCCAAGAGCGTAAACTCGAGGCACGCAACACACCATTAACTGGCGGCATCCGAACAGATGGCGAAGATGTGATCATGGAAGAAGAGGAGGAAGAGGATCCCCATAATCATGCAAATGGTATAGAAAACGGCACCTCCGCCAGCACTCCCGCGGCAGAGGAAAATTTCATGCCTCAGCCCGCAACCGTGGAACAGATTGCACAGGCCAAAATGTGGCCTTATCGATACCTGGGTATTCACTGCCGCGTGGAGGATGCTCTGGACTACGATGATCGAATTTACCCCCGAGCTAGCTCACGTCTAGGAACACGACACCAGGCATTGGTCCCCGCTTGGCCCGGCCGCCCAGTTGAATACGTGAAGCCTCTTGATGCGAAGAAGAAATCAAAGGTCCCCGGTGGCAAAAAGGATGGCAAGCTCTCTAAGGATGCGCAGGCAGCAATGGAGGCTGCAAAGCGCGAGAGGGCGAACCGACCACCATGGGTTCAAGATGAGCCAGCGGGATACATACATCGTGGTCTGGACGAACCGGTCACAATAAATGGAAAGCAGACACGCACAGCTGAACTTCAGTTCAAAATGCCGGGTCCCGATCAGATCCCCGCCCGTGGCGAAGATGATGCACCAGGCTCTCATTTAAGCGTTGAAGACCGGGAAAAGTTCATCGATGACTATATGCGGCAAGCCAAGGAACTGGCCCCTGGTATTGGAGTTGAGAAATACTCCACGAATTTCCTCGACAGAGCCCTTGCACTTCTTTACTCTGAGAGCTTCGATGTTCAGGCTGCTCTGGCTAAGCTGAAGAAAACCAACAAGTACAAGGATCTTAAAGAGCCTCACATTCGACCGGAGGAACTCAAGCTATTCGAACAGGGTGTCGCTAAGTATGGATCCGAATGGCGCAATATCATGAAACACGTCAAGACAGTCCACATCTATCAGATCGTCCGTTTCTACTACATGTGGAAGAAAACCCCCAGCGGCCGGAAGATTTGGGGCAGTTATGAAGGCAGACGCGGCAAGAAGGAAGTACGTCGCCAAAGTGTAATTTCCTCCAAACTCGTCGACGACGTGGCCGATGATCACGATGATTCCGCGTTCGACTCCGAGAAAGCCATTGTTCAGAAGCGTGGATTCCATTGCAAGTTCTGCTCCACCCGCCATTCACGACAGTGGCGCCGTGCGCCGCTTGTTCCACCAGGCACCGTTATTCCGTCCGAGCCCTCAAACAAGAAAGACAAAGGCCCTATGCTCACCGTTGCGCTCTGTCTTCGCTGTGCTCTGCTATGGCGGAAGTACGGAATTCAATATGAAGACGTCGATGAAGTTGCAAAGAGGATTGCAAGCAGTGGTAACAAGTCATGGCGACGCCGCATCGATGAGGAAATGCTCGCACAACTGATTGTAGCTACCGAAACCCCGTTCACAATCACCCCTGCTACGGCAACTACGGCAACTGCCATGAGTATTCCGCTTGATACAAACCCTCGTCTCATAATGGATGGAAAAGTGGATGGCAAGGTGGATGGCAAGGTGGATGGCAAGGTGGATGGAAAGATGGAAGGAAAGGTAGATGCGACGAAAAAGAAGGCCAAGGACACCCCCGCACCATCAGCCGCGACATCTGTCGAGCCTATGCCGAAGAAGAAGACAGCCCCCGAGAAGGTGGTGGAAGCTCCACCAATTGTTCCTGACCCACCAAAGGCCAAGACTCTTCCTTGTTCAATCTGCAACAAAGTCGAGCCTTTGGGCGAAGAGCATCTTTCATGCCGGGATTGCCGTTTGACAGTCCATCGCAATTGCTACGGGGTACGGGATTCACGCGCCAGCAACAAATGGCTGTGTGATATGTGCTCCAACGACCGCACTCCGTCAATATCTACAAACTATACATGCGTCCTTTGCCCAGTCTCATGGACCGAGCACGATCTCATGGAGACGCCCAAGAACAACTCCCGGAAGAAGACCGAGCGTGACAAGGAAAAGGAGCGTATGGAGAAGGAGATGGTTGCCGAGGCAATCAAACTCTACCGCCAGCGACAGGAGGCCGTTGGCAAGCCTGTCGGTCCTCGAGAACCTTTGAAGCGCACTGCAGGCAACAACTGGGCCCACGTGCTTTGCACCTTGTTCACTCCGGAGTTGAAGTATGGCGATGCGGAGGAGCTTGAGCCCGCGGAAGGATTCGGATCTATTCCCAAGGAGCGGTGGCGTGAGACGTGTAAGGTTTGCAAGTCAAGTAAGGGCGCATGTATACCATGTAGCTTTGCTGGCTGCAATGCTCACTTCCACGTGGGCTGTGCTTTCCAAGCACACTACCGGTTCGGCTTCGATATAACACCCGTGAAGAGCTCGCGCCGTGATAGCATGCGAGCTATTCGTCTGGGAGAAGATGTTGGAGCAGCAACACCTGCCGTTTATTGTCCAAATCACAACGTGCCAACTGTTTTGCACGAAATTGGTGAGCAGACAAACCAGGACCATTTGAACGCCCTCCAGTTGTTCGCCCAGACCTATAAACAGGCTGATCTTACCCTCACTGGAACTGTTCGCAAGGCAGCGTACATGCATCAACAATCTGTTGGAGCTCCGCCACACCCACCCACAAACGCGAACCGCCGGGCGTCGACAACTACTACGCCAGCTTCCAAGGATACCCCAAAAGTTCAACCGGTTCTGGACGAGGTGACTGAAGATCCCATGGACATCGATACCGACAACCATGTTGCACCACGACCGGTAGCTCCTGGCGTGGAGACTAACCGCAAATGCGTCCGTTGTGCCACAGGCTTTAGTCCCAGATGGTGGGCCATTGGGCGACGACCTCCCATGGTTAATGGCTCAGGACACCCTCATCATGTACCCCAAGGTGGCTTCCCTCAGCACAATGGAGATCCTTGCGAACTGGCATACGAATGTCATAAATGTCACTTGAAGAACCCGGCGCCTCCTCCTCCGCCTGTACCCGAACCTACGCCCGACCAACGGCCTTCACCCTACTCTGCCCAACGTCCCATGATACCCACTTCACGAATGCCCGGTCATGCAGGTCATCCGAGCCATGCAGGCCATGCAGGCCACACATTTTTGCCCCACCCGCATCCACACCAACACCCGCATCCTCCTCCCCCAGGTAGCGTGCTCGGGCGCCCGATGGCTCCTGCTCACCCACCCAGTGGACATCCCGGACCAGGATACACTGGACCATACGAGCAACGCCTCACGCCCGACGTCGGTCTTCGCAACGGCATGTCGCCATCTCCTTATCCCCAGGCACAGCCACCTCCCCATCACATGAATAACTACCCGCCACCCCATCCTGCAGGACCGCCACCTCAACACTATACCAGCGCTGGGCCTTCGGGACCACCACCGCCGTATTCCACTCATCAGAGCCCATATGGACCTGTACCCGCCCGCTCGCCGCATCTTTCACAGCCACCGCCGCGATCATATGCAGCGTCCGCATCCCCCCAATCGTGCAAGCGACAACGATCAACCGGTCACCCCAGAACTCCCTGAGTGCCCTCAATGGCGGTCCACCTCCTCGCATGTACTCTGTCGAGCGTGTGATAGGAGCTCCCTCTCACTCACCGCCAGTGACGCAGGCACGTATTGACCCCCGGGGACCAACCGCCACCCCTCCTACTCGACCGGAAGATACACCACCTTCCCTGATGGGCGGGCCACCAAGCAGTCGGCACTCTGGGGTCAATGGCACAACTGCTGGGACTGGAGCGAGCGCAAGCCCATCGCTCAAGAATCTTCTCTCATAACGATATCCCCGAGTGCTTATAATTGAGTTGTATGATAGTGACCTATGTCCTTTCCTATTTGCTTTTACTGCTACTGCATATGCATGCCACGGCATCCCATGAACAAAAAGTGTGTCTGCGGTTGGGCTTCCTTTCTGGTTGTTTTCACTTCCCTTTCTTTTCCTTTCTCTTCCAGCCACGGATATCCTGGGCCTTTCTACCCGGTAGATCCACCTGTCGGCCACCATCTTTCACACTGTGGGGGTTTTCTCTTTCTTATGTCCTTGCTTTTTTTTTTGGCGTCTTGAATTACGGCACCGGGGAAAAGTCCGTGGAGTCTGCTATGGAGCGGTTGGGGGCTTGATATGGTCGAAAATCATGGATTGCATGGAGTAGGGCTGGCCACTTTACGATTGATATTACCCATTACCCATTATTTCCAGCTAGATGAATTGATTACCATTGCTACGATCCTTTTCTTCAAACTATCCACTCGGTTGTCCGGCATTGACGTGGATTATAAACCCTCCAACATATGTGGGACGCGGAACCTTGCTGGCGATGCTGACAAATGTCGATCAAGCTGCCCGGCCCGCGGCACCTGAGATGAGGTCAGCTCGATATAACTGGGTGTTAGCTCCTAGGGATATAAATAAAAGTGCCTTCTGCCAATCATTGAATAAAAAACAACCATTGAACGCTGTACACATCACTCAAGATGAGCGACACCATGCGAGCTATCGGTAAGTGAACGCGGGGTTGGAGATTCCACCTGATATCCCGATGTCATCTGCATCATTGGAAGCATTGAGAATGATACATGGACCAATATCAACTCATTTGCCCTCCTCACGCCTATCTTTCCTCGAAACTCACACTTCCAACCCTCTACATAATGTCAACACCAAAATTGACAACCCCCCAGGAATCAAAGGCGGCAAAGGCCCCGCAACGAGCCTCTTCATCGATCAAATCGCCAAGCCCACCGCCACAGAAGGCCAAGCCATCATCAAGATCCGGGCCTTTGGCCTGAACCGCATGGACCTACTCCAGCGCGAAGGCCTATACCCCCTCCCACCCCAAGCACCATCAACCATGGGCGTCGAGTTCTCCGGCGTGATCGAGAGCTTCGGACCCGACGGCCACGAAGACTTCCAGATCGGCGACGAAGTACTCGGCCTCGCATACGGCGGCGCCTACGCTGAATACATCTGCGTCTCAACCCATATGCTAGTTCACAAACCCAAACAGCTATCATGGGAAGAAGCAGCCGGAGTCCCCGAGGTACGCACATACAATCATCTGCCTTCTCTCACAGAAACCGTCGCTAACCACCCACAGACTTGGATCACAGCCTCGCAAGCCCTCTTCCTAATTGGCGAATTCCAATCCGGCCAAAGCGTCCTCTGGCACGCAGGCGCCTCGTCAGTCTCAATCTCCGGCATCCAACTTGCCAAAGACGCCGGCGCAAAAGCCATCTACGCTACAGCAGGTTCGCAAGAGAAAATCGATTTCCTAGAGAAAGAACTCGGCGTGACGAAAGCCTTCAATTACAAGACCCAGGACTGGGCGAAGGAGATTCAGGCTGCGACGTCGGGCGCGGGCGTCGATCTAACTGTTGACTTTATCGGTGCGACGTATTTCCAGGGTAATCTGGACGTTGCAGCGCGCGATAGTCGGATCGTCTTGCTGGGTCTGATGGGCGGTGGTAAGTTACCTGATGGGGTTAATATTGCGCCGTTGTTGTATAAACGTGTGCGGATTGAGGGAAGTACGCTGCGCAGTCGGGACCTGGAGTATCAGCGTAAATTGCGGGATACGCTTGTTGAGCATGCGTTGCCGCGGTTCTGCGATCGGACGTTTAAGGTGTTTGTTGAGAAGGTGTTTCCGTTTGAGAAGATTGAGGAGGCGCATACGTTGCTTGAGAGTAACACTACTAAGGGAAAGATTATTTGTGTTTTTGAGTAGGGACTGGTCTATATAATATAGGTGGATGCAAATATATATACTTTTATCTTGTACAGGAGTAGACGGTCGCTTCTGCGGGCTTGTGATATTCGTAGGTTTCATTTGGTGCTCTTGGATCTTATTATGGATGTCTTTGTATCTTCGGAGTTCTTGTAGATGGCAAACATGGCCGATCTGAAGAATGCCTTTTCCTTGTATAGCCGTTTGTACATAATTTGACGGTCATAGCCAAGAGATCGACAAAGTCGACAACGCCACCCCTTGCCATTTGCAGAATCCAGAATTGGCCTGCATGCCAAGTATTTAGTGTACTTCTCCGGACTGGCAGATTGGAAAATACCACATGCAACCATTTCTCGGTGATTGGTCGGGGTTCCCTCCCAATCACAATTTTGAAACGTCCAGGACTTTGAAGGTGATCAGCAAGCCCTTGATGGCTGAATAAGGAAACTGAGTGCACACGCAGCCATCTCTGTATATAGGTTCATGTGAGGGTTAGGGGGTTTAGCTTGTTTTTTGGGTGGAAGTATGGCCTGCCAGTTTCACTCTCGAAATCAAGGAACACATGATCACGTTCTCGAGTGATGTCCAGCTTTGATATTATCTAGTACTGCAGATCCGAGTGGAAAAAAGTCTGAGATCACGGATGATTTTGGCTTTCAGATTTTGGCCCCAATGGGGGGTCCAAACGTTGGGTTTGTATGGCGGTAATTAAAAGGACTGTATTTAATATCGTCCATCGGTATATGTGTATAGGTAAGGATGTGTATATGTGTACATGTCAGTATGTCAGTATCTATAGACTCATATGAGCCTAGGTGCACTACACCCTGTTCACGGGCACAGAATCTGCGCTGACTAACCCTTCTAAAAAAAAAAAAAAAAAGAGAGGCGTCATTGGGTCCACTGGTTACGGAGGCTCTGTCACAAGTGATATCTGGAGGAAAAGAGAAAGATGTAGGATATATAAGTGATCAAGATATATAGATGTATCTCTATCGATAAAGATATAGTCAGTGGAAGAGTACAAAGTCCACAGATGAAGAACAAGGACGTATCAACCACACAGAAACCACATGCAGATACGTGAGGATCATCCCGTCCCGGCCTTCTGGAAGGAAAAGAAGCCCCCTTCCCCGTGTTCGCCCCTCCTCAGCTTGGGCTGTTTTTTACCTTTCGACTTCGACTTCGACTTTCATTCTTCCTTTCCTCTTTCTTCCTTTGCTTCCTTTTCTTTGTTCTCACCGCTACAACTCCCCACCATGTCCAACTAACCTCGCCTTCTCTTGTCGCAATTGAAAAATCCCCCTCGATTCTTTCATCCCATCGCTCTGCCTTCGACTCCGGGGTGGAAAAAGTGGGTTGCGCTGTCTAGTGCGACAAGTCTAGGCTCTGGGGGTGTCTCGGAACCTCCAGCCCGTAACGCGACTCGGACTGCCTCGCTGCAGGGAACAACTCCATTGTTCGAAACTGAGAGCTTGCCGACTGCCACTCCTTTTCCCGACTTTCTTTGTGCCGATTCAGTCGGATCTCTCCCGATACTCCATACCTTCCTCCAACCTCGCCGCTCGTTTTTCTTTTCTTCCCTTTTCTCTCAAAATCGCTCTCACCCGAATCTTCCCTTCGCCTCCCCCCCCTTCACCCGAACGCCTCGATCTTCGTCATTTGCGCCATATGCGAGGCAGCACCGATCCGACCGACGCCTTTTCCCTTTTCTCACTCCGATTGAGTTCTTGTCGGTCCTGTGATTCCGGCGACACAGCCTGATCGGGGTCGTACTCAAGTTTCTGACCAACATGTTTGACCGCGTGGATTGCGCCGGCCTCTACATCGACGACCGAGTGCGGTCGGAGAGATGGGTGCGCAGAAACTCCATCGATGAAGTAACGCTATCGTCTGCGGGTTCATTTACAACCCTCGAAGAACCGGAGGCTCTGCAGGCGGATGTAGAGCAGTTGTTAGGAGTGTGCAAACAAGGTAGGTTCCGCAGACTGCGCTCCGTTTGATCATTGACTAATTCATCCCGTTTTTTTCGTTTTTTTTTTACAGTCTACCTCTGCCATAACGGTTCCTCCTTTGCCACCAAGCTGGCCGAGCTCAGCGACCGGTCGGGTAGCGAGTGTAATCCGATTTTCGCCTTCCTCGAGGTGGACTTTAGCGGCGAAGAGTCGAACCTGGCTCGCCGAAAAGCCAGTCGCTCCTCGTGGTCAGAAAACGCTCCTCCATCCCCGGGCTCCATCCACCGCACTTTCACATTCTCAACGCAGTCCGACGAAGCACGGGGCCTCTCACTTCTATCGGGTGTCTCAAATGATCTTCAAGCCCAAGAAGGGCCGAATTTGGTCATTCCAATTGCTATTTTACGCCTACCTACCTCCGACGGACCCAGCGACTATGCGGTTGCCGGCCCTACTAGTCAACCCTCTCAAGGATCTATCGCAGTGGAGCACAAGCAGATTGCCCGCTGTCTTGATGCCGGTGCCGTAGATGTCTTGACCACGCCGTTAGATCGGTCGCGCACTCAAGGGCTCGTGGTTCATGCCTACCGTACCCGTAAAGCGGCCCAGAGAGAGATGACCCGATTTCTTGCACGGAGAAAGCAACGAAAGCTTTCTTGGGTTGGTGTGCATGATGAGCAGCCATATTCTTATCTCAGAGAAGCCATGGTTTCAAAGCTTATGAAAGGAATTTGCAACCCAGAAGAAGTCATATATGATGAATTTCAGGAGCAGGATCTCAATGTGGACCCTGCACGCATACCTTTTATCAAAGAACAGGTAGGCCGTTGGGATTTCTGCGCTCACGATTTTACCGAGGACGAATTGGTCTTTGGTGCTTGTGAGATCATACAACATGCTTTCACCATGCCGGGATTGGACAATTGGCGGTTGACCCCCGATGAACTGCAAACTTTCCTTCTCGCCTGCCGTGCTGCTTATAACTCCTTCGTGCTTTACCACAATTTCCGCCATGCGATTGATGTGCTGCAATCCGTCTTTTGCTTTCTGCTAAATATTGGTGCTTTGCCTCCATATGCACCTGTCGGTCATGTTCATGCCTTAGAAACTCCTATCACATCCCTTCTCACCCCGTTCGACGCCCTCACCCTCCTCATTTCTGCCATTGGCCATGACGTTGGCCATCCAGGTGTCAACAATTTTTTCCTTGTCAAACTTAACGCACCTCTTGCTCAACTCTACAACGACAATTCCGTCTTGGAGGCGTTCCATTGCGCTGCCTTCTCCCAGATTCTGCGTCGGCACTGGCCTGCGGCATTCAAGGATAATCAGCTGCGGAAGCTCCTTATCAGCTCTATCTTGGCCACAGACATGGGTGTGCACCAGAAGTTCATGCAACGAATGGGCTCATTTCAAGAGAAGTTCTCCGAAAACCACCGATCTGTTGATGGCTGGAAGCCGCAAGACGTCGACATGTACAGGACGCTCGTTTGTGGATTACTGATCAAATGTGCCGACATCAGTAACGTGGCTCGGCCGTGGAAAGTTGCAAAGAAGTGGACGCAAATCCTGCAAGAGGAATTCGCTAATCAGGGTGAGATGGAAAGGGAGGTTGGAATGGAAACCGCGCTGTTTGGCGGTCCACCCGAACTAGAGAACGTCTACAAATTGGCTACTGGTCAAATTGGTTTCATGTCAATATTCGCCCTGCCGCTCTTTGAAGGCATTTCAGACCTTCTACCGCAGTTGCAGTTCACTATGGACCATATCCGGCGCAATCAGGCACAGTGGCAAGAACTTGCCAATCAGGATCTGGAGAAGCGAGGTTTGCCGATCGAGAAACGGCCCGAGATCACTATTTCGCCTCGCTCACAGAGCCCTGTTGCTAGTGAAAAGCAGCTTCCCGCCCCAGGAGATGGCACAACTGACGAAGTCGAATCCTCCGCGAGTTCAGGTTCTGATGGATACAACGAAAACACCATTCAACCAGTTGTGTCACCCGATACCACAGGTCCTCAGATTGAGATCACAGGAAGTCCCCTTCTGCCGGCCGTTGAAATGTCATCTCGGAAGTCTTCTAGTGCCATGCCCGAGCTTTCTTGTTTCTCCATTCCAGGAATCCCGGAGTCTGCCCGCGGGTCTATTTCGACACAGCTACATAACCCTCCCTCAGAAGCAAACCCTAGTACTGAGGATCCGGCTGTTCTAGCGGCCGTCTTGTATGCAAATTCAGCCTTCGGTGGTGGGACTCCATCGGGATCAATGGAGCATGACCATGCTTCGGGGGCTGCCGAGAGACCAAGCAGCTCGCGCCAAGGCCTTCCACAAGGCTCCCAGCGGGGCTCCCAACGGCACCATGCGCACCACAGCTCGTCTGCCCGCACAGGCTCCAATCGCAATAGTTGCACACGGACGCAAAGCACCTACAGCAACAACATGACCCCAATCTCTCCCGCAACTAATGCTTCAAGCTTTTTAGCTGTGGATAGTGGCGACGAAAAGCGAGTCTCCGGGGAAAGTGCTGCACAAAGTGATCTTGGAGGACCTGACGACAACAGCACACGTCCCAGCACAGCGGACGCCTTTCCTTCAGGCGTATCAGAGCCCGCAGGCGGTTACAGTCCCGGTCGTAGCTCTATCATCGGTCGTGGTCAAACACGTTCCGAAGATGGTGATCGCGCCAACAAAGACTTCTCCAGGCTGGGAGCCCACGGAACCCGCAGCCCGACACAGTCGACGACCACCGGCGAGAGCATCAAAAATGAAAACCCGCAAGCAGATGACTCTCATGTTCCCCGCAGACTTCCTAAGCGGAGGAGTCGGCTTCGACTTGCTTTTTGGAAGCGTCGCAACCATTCGCACGAGGTCCGTGGTGAGACCTGATTTTCCTGCCATCCTGCTTGGCGCTTTTGGGTTTGAGCCATCACCAGCTGTGTATAATGTTGCCATGGTCTTATGAACATTACCTTCTGCAATGAGACTTGAAACCCACACTGGTGTTCCATGAATTCACGACTCGACCAGTCGAAGAAGCCAGACTTTGGATTTTCTTTTCCCACCGCATTGGCTCTCCTGGTCACGACTCTACGAAGTCGAATAACGATACTTTCTTCCCTTCTGCTAGACATCTGAGTTTGTCTTGGGCATGATAGCAAATGCAAAGCTTGTCTGAGAAATTCCAGCATCAAGACAAGATGAGCTGTATGTTTTACCCTATCCTCTCTCCTTTGAGGCTGAGAGTCACGCTTTATCATGCATTTTTCTCTTCTCCATGGATACATCGGTGTCCCGCTACATCTATTCATCTGATTATTTGCATCGGGTTCACCCACCTACTTAACTGCTTCTCTGTGATGACCACGAATATCTGTTTTCTTTTATCCTTATCCTACACCTTCATTCATCTCTCTTTTCGTCTTTCTATCGCCCTTATGTGATCTTTCCGGGTGGTTCTCTTTTGTTTTAGAGTCCCAGTGGCGTTCTATTTCCTACAGGTGCGGGCTTTCTCCGGCTCGATGTTCGAGATCCATGACCTTGGATAGTTGTTTCTTTTTCCCCTTGTACTTGATCCTCGTGTCTTGTCTTTTGCTCTATTCTTTTTTTCCCCATGGACTCTTTTGTTAGACTCTTCCGCTCTGCGCGATAATGAATGTGATGTGTACAGTGATTTTCCGAAGTCTTGTTTTCCAGGCTTGTAACGATTGTAACAGGTGCATTTGCCAAGTAAAATATGTAATTCCTGCATCTTTGCCAACAGAGTCTAAAATGAATTTTCTACATACACTAACTGACATGTGTAGATCTGGATACTAAATTTGGTATGAACACTCACTCCCTCCTACTGACAATCCTCACAACCCGCCTTGTCCTTACCTTCCTCTTTCTTCTCCTGCTCACCCTGCTGCTTCTTCAAAGCCCGATCCGTATGTCCCAAATCCCTCTCAGGGGCAATAACATTCCGCACAAGGGACTTGAGCGCTTTGACCTCTGAGAAAAGAAAGGAAAGGTTAGACAAAACAGCCTGACTGGGTACATAGCTTTCCAACTTGTATAACACATCCATATAAAAGTAACAAATTAGGAAAGAATAAAATTACATACCAGGGAATCCCCCATCACGCTTCCTATCCCACAGAATAATCTCCTGCGTCGTGACCTCCCCTTCAGTATTCAGCGTACCATGCCATATCGTTACCGTGAACACGCCACCGGTCTTAGGGACGAGGGCCACTTCGCCGAGGTCTGTGCTGAATGTCGAGAGGAGTTCTTGGGCGAACTGTTACTTCGTTAGTACTGGTGTTTACATGATTTTTGTATATTCCGATATGGTTATGGTTATGGTTGTGATAGCCACTTGATATCGACTTTTGATATATATCATGGTATACATGTATATATCAGACACCCAACAAGCAAGTATCAAGGAACCAATCACATGCCAAACACCCTTGACGACACAAGGAAGAATATCGCCAACGTGATAGGTCGAGAAAGAAGGAGAGGAGGACACATACGTATGCGGCGCGGAGCATCCACCGACACTGTGTGCAGAACTGGATTGAGATGCGGGGGAGATGGAGGTTCGCAGGTTCGACTTTGTCTGTGTTATTGGGTGCTGAGTCGTTTAAGGGTAACGGGGTTGGGGTAGCCATGATGGATGATAATGGGGGTTGAAGTGTGAGTGCGATTGGATGGGTGACTTGTGTGGCGAGTGGAGTGCCTGGGCGGATATTGTATGCAGGTGGATGTATTATTGGGGGCGGTATTTCTCGTTGGAGAGTTGTATGTGTGCAGAGCTTACAACAGTGTGGGATGCCTAGGTGGACACCCAGGTCCACGGGAAGATGATGTCAGCGGGGGGGGATTTCCAGGTGCCCAGGTGTATATCAAGTTCTGTTTGCACCTTACATGGCATGTTACATGTAATATGGAAGATGAGTCCGTCATGTACAGATTAATTTTCGGTGAGGATGATCTACCAATTGCCCAATATGGGCAAGGTATGCACGAAACAACCGAGGGCTGATCCCGACTGCCGGGGTCATCCCAGCAAATCGCAAGATGTGATCGGAATTTGGGGCCGAATTACAAATGGCGCAAATTCGATTAGATCGGTATGGTATTGGTCATGCGAATCTATGATACATGAATGGCAACTCTCACGCTCGGAAGAACATAGAGGCTTTTTGAAGATAACCCGTAAAGAAAAGGATACATAGGAGAAAGAAGGGAAAAAAAAAAATAAAGAAAAGAAATGGCCGATTCCTAACAAACACATCGAGAAGGGGGAATGGTGCAATCCAGAGAAGAAGAAAAAGTAAGGCGCAACAAATGCATCGTCAAGTGCACTGTCTGCAGAGAGTCCGAGGACAAAAAAAAGGGGACACGAGGTCGAAAAGGGCGACAAAACACAGCGGGACTTGTGTGATCCCCGGAGGCGTGGAAGGTTTCGTGCAAGACCAGCAGACGATTCTTTCATGCCGACATATTTGTCCGCGCGAGCAATCGTGTTTTGTTCGGGTCCAAGGGGGTGGTCGTGAATGGGGTCCGGAATTAAGTAGGGGAAAGAGAGAAAGAGTGAGAGGTCATGGCGAAAATATCCCGTCGTGAGTGCATTACATGACGGTGCAGCAACCCCCCTGTTGCTGAGGAGCATAAGGATCCTCGCGCTTGTCGACCTAGGAAATGGGGAGTTAGTTTGGGATGAGATCGCGTGGGCCAAAAAAGGAGCCGGTCGCATACCTGTCCCCATACGGATGGAACCATATAATCGCGAGTATTGTTGCAGTAACTGATGAGACTATTAAAGGGTTAGGTGTTTGTTTGTTTGAACCAAGAAAAGGTGGAAACGGACGAGAGAGCTGCCTCGGAGACCTTGACCCGTGGACGGTCCAGATCCTCCTTTAGACGAGCATTGAGTTCGGTCAAACGACGATATTTCAAGTCTGCGACACTCTGCTTCTTATTCTTAACATCACCTCCGGATCGAAGTTCGTAAGGAGCCATGATGGGTAGAGCTGTGAAAGAAGCGCGAATGGAGAAAGGGGGAGAGGGGGGTTTTTGGATCGGCAAGTTCCCAAGGGCGTAAGAATTAGGTTAGGGGGGCCGGATAATCAGCCAAGACAAAGAAAAAAAAAAAAAAGAAGGTGAAGTCGGGTCGAGTGTTAATAGAGAGAGAATGGACAAAGGGCTGTTTAGAGGGGATTTCCTGAGAAGAGTCCTAAGGTCCGTGGGTTTCCCTTTTTTTTTACCTTACGTTGGTATACGTTATACTGGGGTGAAGTACCCGGTACTGGGCATTGGTCGGGGATTACTACTATTGTTTTATGTGGAGACAAACATATCCCTTGTACCCGGTACTTCCTAAACTTCGATAGGATGATTACTTGAAGGTACATCGGGGTCGGAATGAGATTAGTTGAGATTATAATATTACTCGACTCGGGATATTTCAATTGAACCAATAACACACATCATCATCCTGTAGTAGAGTCATCCAATATGACACATCTTCCTAGGCTTCTGCCTCAGGCTGCAACACGTGATCTCCATCGCTTAACGCGAAGTGGGAACACTGGCGGGATCTAATTTTTGCTCTGGCCTCAACACGCACATTGTGAATCTTCCCCTCGTTATCGGGTATTCGCGTGGCTAATCGCATTCTGACCAGCTACCCGTGTCGCTGGCTTCATATAACTTGGGACCTTTTTTTTTCTTCTTATTTTTAATTTCTTATCAGTCACCTTTGATCTTTTCCCAAAGGGGCATCCACCCATCATGCCGCCTCCTCCGCATATCAAGCCTGAGAATGTCCTCAAGGTAAGCGTCGCCGTCGCTGTCGCAAAACAGAAGATGGATGGGGTACTAATGACTATTGATCATATAGAGGGCTCAGGAACTCATCGCCGTCGGCCAGGCTCCCGCCGCCTTGACTGTCCTCCACGAACATGTCACCTCCAAGCGCACCCGTAGCAGCCCCATCGCCTCCCTCGAGCCGGTGATGCTCCTGTTCGTTGAGCTGTCTGTCGACCTTCGCAAGGGCAAGGCCGCCAAGGATGGTCTTTACCAGTACAAGAACATTGCTCAAAACACCAACGTCGGCACCATCGAGGTTTGTGTTGATGATCGTCGGAAAAAAAAAAATTATGACTTGGCACTAACCTAGGACTTTTTTTTTTTTTCGTACAGATCGTTCTCAAGAAGTTCATCGAGCTTGCCGAGCAGAAGGTCACCGAGGCTCAGGCCAAGGCCGACGAGATCCAGTCGACTCTCGACTCTGCCGCTCCTTCCTCCAACATTGAGGATTTGGAAGCTATCGAGACCCCCGAGACCATCCTCCTCGCCACCGTCTCCGGTGAGCAGTCCCGCGACCGTACCGACCGCGCCATCGTTACTCCTTGGCTTAAGTTCCTGTGGGAGACCTACCGCACCGTCCTCGAGATTCTGAAGAACAATGCCCGTCTCGAGATCATGTACCAGTCGACTGCCTTGCAGGCCTTCAAGTTTTGCCAGAAGTACGCCCGCAAGACTGAGTTCCGTCGCCTGTGTGAGCTCCTGCGCAACCACGTCCAGAATGCCGCCAAGTACTCTTCCCAGATGCACGCCATCAACCTGAGCGATGCCGACACCCTGCAGCGTCACCTTGACACCCGTTTCCAGCAGTTGAACGTTGCCGTCGAGTTGGAGCTGTGGCAGGAGGCTTTCCGCAGCATTGAGGATATCCACACTCTGTTGAACCTCAGCAAGCGTCCCGCCAAGAACATCATGATGGCCAACTACTACGAGAAGCTCGCCCGCATTTTCCTGGTTAGCGAGAACTACCTCTTCCACGCCGCCGCTTACAACCGCTACTACAACCTCCTCCGTCTCTCTTCCTTGGCCCTGGCTAGCGGTCAGAGCTCCAAGAAGGAGAACCCATCGGTCACCGAGGCCGAGATGACCAAGGCTGCATCCTTCGTCCTTCTCTCTGCCCTGTCCATCCCCGTCATCAGCACTTCCCGCTCCCGCGGCGCCCTTGTTGATGTGGATGAGGCTCGCAAGAACAAGAACACCCGTCTCACTAACCTTCTCGGTATGGCCACCTCGCCTACCCGTACTGTGCTCTTCCGTGATGCTCTTAACAAGGGTTTGCTCCGCCGTGTGCGCCCCGAGATCCGCGAACTGTACAACATTCTGGAGGTTGACTTCCACCCTCTGTCCATCTGCAAGAAGATCACCCCCATCCTGAAGCAGATTGGTGCCGACCCCGAGATGGAGAAGTACGTTGTGCCTTTGCAGCAGGTCATCCTTACCCGTCTGTTCCAGCAGCTGTCCCAGGTTTACGAGTCCGTTGAGCTCAAGTTCGTCTACGAGCTTGCCCAGTTCCCCGCCCCCTTCCAGATCACCCCTGCCATGATTGAGAAGTTCATCATGAACGGTTGCAAGAAGGGTGATCTCGCTATTCGCGTTGATCACATCTCGGGCGTCCTGACTTTCGACTCCGATGTCTTCTCTTCCGCCAAGGCTGTCCACGCCGGCAGCGGTGCTGGCTCCGCTGAGAGTGAGGTCGGCTCCGTTCAGCGCCTGCAGCACACCCCCCGCCGAGATCGCTCGCTTCCAGGTCGCTCGTCTCGCCAAGACTCTTCACGTCACCTGCATGTACGTCGATCCCTCCTACAACCAGGCTCGTCTTCAGGCCAAGGAGACTGCCCAGGCCCGTGCCATTGCTGGTGCCGCCCAGGAGCACGAGGATACTCTCACCCGTCGCGTTCTTATCGACAAGAAGAAGGAAGCCGCCACCGATGCTTTGCAGCGCAAGCAGCGCGAAGAGGAGACCCGCAAGCGTGTCCGTGCCCAGCAGCTCCAGGACGCCGAGAAGCAGCGTCTGGCTGATGAACAGCGTGATCGTGAGCTCAAGCGTATCAAGGATGAGCAGGACCGCATCCGCCAGGAGGAGCTCAAGAAGCAGCTCGAGGAGCTCAAGACTGGTGTCAAGGGTATTGACGTCAGCGAGATCGACCTTGAGGAGCTTGATGCCAACCGCCTGCGCGCCATGAAGCTGGCTCAGCTCGAGAAGGAGAAGAATGAGCTGAACGACCGCATCCGTACTACTGCTAAGCGTATTGACCACTTGGAGCGTGCCTTCCGTCGCGAGGAACTGAAGCACATCGCCGCCGATTACGATGAGCAGAAGAAGCAGGACTTGGAGCTTTACGAGAAGCAGACCGCCCAGAGCTTGCGCGAGTCCAAGGAGAAGCACGCCGAGGCAGTGGCCCTCAAGCACCGCCTGGGTCGCCTTGTTCCCCAGTTCAGCAACTTCCGTCGTGAGGTTTCTGAGAAGCGCCACGAGGAGTTCGAGAAGCGTCGCAAGGCTGCCGAGCGCGAGTTCGAGGCTAAGAAGAAGCAGCGTGTCAAGGAGGTCCAGGAACGCCGCCGTCGCGAGAAGCAGGAGCGCGAGGAAGAGGAGGCTCGTCGTAAAGAGGAGCAGGAGCGTGCCGAGCGTGAGGAGCAAGAGCGCATTGCCCGTGAGGAGGAACGCCGTCGTATCTTCGCCGAGGAGAAGGCCAAGCGCGAGGAAGAGCGATCGTCAGTATTCCCTTACTTCATTTTCCCTTCAGATCTCGATGCTAACTTGATGTACAGCAAAATGGATGAGATGGCTCTCAAGCAGCAACAGCGCGAGGAAGAAGCCGCCGCCCGCCTCGCAGCTCGCAGGAGTGGATTCGAACCCGCAGCCGAACGAACTGCGCCCCGTCTCAATGTCGCCCCACGTACTGGTGCTCCCTCCAGCTGGAGAGAACGTCAAGCTGCCAAGGAAGCTGGTGGTGCCGCCGCCGAGCCCACCCGCGAGTTCACTCGCGCCCCCGTCCGTGAAGAGCCTGCCCCTCTCCGCAAGGGTGGATACGTTCCTCCTCACCTGCGCAGCGGTGCCTCCGCCAGCGCTGGATCCGCCCCCCTCCCCCTGCTCCCCGCGAGCCCCGTGAACCCCGCGAGTCTCTGCCCCGTGAGGCTCCCACCGAGCGCTGGGCGCCCCGTCAACCTCGTGAATCTTCTTCTCAGTCTCCTGCTCCCGCTTCGGAATCCAAGCCCGCCGCCGGTGGCAAGTGGGTCCCTAAGTGGAAGCAGCAGCAGTAAACGACCGAGCTACGACTTTCCAGTTAAAAAGTGTATCCAAGCTCTTTTCTTTTTGGCGCTATTCTCATGACCCTTTTCTGCATATTTCGTGTATCATTCACCCATGTTCACCCCGTAACGTGTTAATGGGGGCCCTTGTTCTGTCTGTTTTCAGCTCGCTCGGAATATGATATAATCTTTTCCTAGACTTTTTCTTCTTGGCTTTAATTTGGCGTAGCTGTTTGAGATCTCTTTATTACTATGGATATGGGCGGAGTTATGCCGATGCTAAGCTTCGACGACAGCATTGGGTCTGCACAGGTTGCATACAAGCATATGCATGTCGCATGCAGGTATATTTCAGGTTCTCTTTCATGGATTGCGGTACTAGTAGATAGAAGAGGAAAAATGAACATACCAAGCGAATTGGAATGAATGGTATCACGATTTCGAGCTTATATGTAACATAATGAAAGATGCCCCAGTAAGCATCAATGTGGATATCTGACGAAAGGATAGAAAAAAAAAAATAAACGACAGTCTAGAGTCCTGACCTGAGGAAACAGAATCGCAAAAAAAGGAATGATCAAGTCATGAACATTAAATCAACATCAAAACTTATGCAGCGGCCACTTCGGCATTCGCTCCGAATAGCTTCTCGCGCCATTCCCCACAGACAGCCTCAAATCCACTGACTACATCACCGCAGACCTTGCCAGCCTCTCGATCTTTGATCCTACGGTCCCAATCACCGCGCTCGATCCACCGGGATCCCTCTTCGTGGCTCTCTTCTTCCCGCCGGATATCGGCGACGAGTTCTCGCGCAGAGCGTAATCGGCGGGAAGCCGTTGAAGTCAATTGTCTCGACTCGTAGAGGGTATCGCTTAAGCCACGAAGTGTATGTGTGATATCGGCTGTTTGTGAGATGAGGGCTTGGAGAGAGGCGAGGGGGTTGTGTGCGGAGGTTGTTAATTGGGAGTCTTGGTGCTGTTCTGGGAAGGGGTATGGGAGATTTGGCAATAAGCCTTCGTCTATAAGGGGCATGAGGGAGTCGATTGCGTCGTCGGAAAGGAGGGGGAAGGGGGGAGAAGAGGAGCGGGTGGACGAGGGATTGGAGGGCGCGGGTTTGGTGGGTGAGATGTGATGTGATTGAGGAATGGGCGGTGATGAGTCTGCGATGAGAGATCAGCTATCAGGATCGGTGGAATCCTATTAAACTTGTGTGAACTTACCTCATGGCACTATTCTCGATCCCGCTCTGTCCACCGAGATCTTTCAATGACTCGACTGTCCGCTGAATGACATAGTCATTTTCACTTCCGTTATTTTCTATACCTCGTCGAACGAGACTCTCAATCTCAGCCATTTGGCTCTCCAGTGCAGGGGAGATATCCGTCTCCTCTAGATCTGAGTCGGGTCCATAATCCGAGCCATCATATTGCGACTCCTGCCGGCGGTGCTGTCGCAAATGATTTGCACGATGTTTGTTCTTTGATGGGTGGAGCGAATCTCTTTCTGATGAGAGGGATGGTGACCGGGAGCGCACGCTGTGCACTGACTGCATGTACATTTCCTCTCCATCACTATGACCCATCTGTTGTGACCCCGCGCGGCTAGCTTCCTGGCCCGACGCATATCCATATCCATCTTCCTCTTCTCCCCATGCATCCGCTAGCTCATCAGCTAGATTTCCTAGTCCTCCGCCGCCCATATCAGCGGCGCCAGAGAAATCCCCGGATCCTCGGTGGGATCCACTCATGGCGTTGTAGGTATGGCGGGACGCGACGGGAGATGGAGGTGCAGATATTTGTGGTGTCCGCGGTGACGGGGGGCTTGCGAATGTAAAATTATTGCCAGTTGTCCCGGGAGAGATAGGTGAGTCTTCCGTGGTGGATGGGTAGCGGTGTGAGAGTTTCAGGGGAGAAGGAGGGAGGGGCATTGGAACGTTTGGATGAATCACAGGGGATCCTTTAGGTTGGTGGAAGTTTTATTGGGAAGCTGTGACAGCCGAATTAGGGCAATATAGCCAGTAAAATGGAACAAGCCGTTGTAGTCCAGCTGCAGGCGAGGAAGAGTTGTGGATTAGGACGCCTAATTGGAAGTTCCGATAGCTCCGGACCGAGTCAATTGTCGTATTATAACACAGTAATCACAAACCAAAGACCAAGCCAAGACCAATTGATATAACAAGAGGTGGAAAAGACCGACTTCTTAACAAAGGAGTGACTGCACCACCACGCAGGAGGGGTATCAACACCAACGCAACTCTTTGACTTCACCGCCGACTTACCCTCGTCACCGCCCGGCAAAAAAAGAACAGGAGTATCAAACCCCCACATTATCCTTCTCACGTTGAAGACATCAAGATGAGTTCTATTGAACGCATGTCCCCATTGGACTTGCTTGACCTAAATCTCACCAATCTTGACCCTCTCACCGAGAACTATGATCTCGGCTTCTACCTAAACTACCTGAACAAATGGCCCTCTTTGTTCAGCGCTGTCAAGGACCATGAGGCCGGCATTGTAGGTTATAGTACGTGGAACTCCGACCCTAACTTGGCACAATCTACTTGAATGAAATAGATCAATATAGCTAACATGCTCCTTTAGTTATGGGCAAGCTCGAAGAGCAACACCCTGCAATGCGCCACTCCGAGCACTACACTCCATGGCACGGACACATCACTGTCCTGACCGTCGCCCCAGCCTGGCGTCGTCTCGGATTTGCCCGCAGATTGACTGAGCAGCTCGAGCGGGGATCAGACAGTAACGATGCTTGGTTTGTTGATCTTTATGTACGCGCCGGAAATAAAGTTGCATATGACATGTACAAAGGAATGGGGTACGTGAATCAATATAGATGTGCCAATGCTGAATTGACGGCTGACATATATATTTATAGATACTCTGTCTTCCGGCGAGTGGTAAATTATTACAGCGATGATCCTTCTGGGATGTCGGAGACTGGAGAAGATGCGTTCGATATGCGCAAGCCGTGCAGTCGAGATAAGAAGCTCGAGCATGTGCGCGAAAATGGTGAGAATTTCCCTGTTGGGCCGGAGGATGTGATGTAAGCCGTCCTTCTTTTTTGTGGTATTTATTGGAGCAGCCTTGATGGCTTGTTTTTCTCTCTCTCGCGAGCCCTTTTTTCTTTCTTGATGGATCCTCTTGGCATGAAGGGTTCATGCAGGGCTGGTGTTTGTATGGATAATTTCTTGCACAGAGCTGGACATATGATTATGATTTCTTGTATTGCCATTTTCCGTCTAAGTTTAACATGAGGTGCGCCGTGTCCCCCACTGGCAGGATAGATGCAAACTGAGTTGCCGGGGGATAATGCAAAATGCAAAATGTTGGCCAAATGATGGAGCTAATGGTATCTACTGTTGTCCCAACATGTGAATGTCAAGAAATAGCCCAAACAAGGCTGGACCATCTGTGGCGTTGGGTATATTTTGTAAGACATTTTAGCAGTCAGCAGCCGAGACTCAAGCCTTGACACGAAGCTTGAGACCCGAGCGCAGAAACCTCACACTCATCATAAGAGCCGCAGCGGTAGTGAGACAACAAGCGGTAAAAAGTTGAACTCCGAGGAATTGGTTTGTATCGGACAGGATTGCACCCCCGATGGGGGTACCGATCAGCAGGCCGATGGAAGTGATAGCAAAAACCATGCCCAGTCTTGTGCCCAGGTTGCGCACATCCGGGGTCATGCTCGCCATAACCACAGGCGGCAGAGACACGAACCCACCGGAGAAGAAGCCGTAGAAGACGGCAAGGATGATAATTCCAGGTAGGGTGTGAACCCGGATCCAGACGAAGGCCAGAATGGCAGTGATGGTCACGGCGGGTGTGAGCATATTCAAAGGGCCAACGTGGTCGGCGAGGAAATTGGGCGCAATACGACCAAAGGTCGAGGCGGCGTTTAGCATGGAGAGTAGGTAGAATCCTAGGTTCGAGTCTACGATTCCTGTCTCTATTGCGTATGACTGCACATAGAATAGGAAGTTATAGAAACCCAGGAATCCCATAAACATGGCAATGGCGAAGATGGTAAAGGCTGGCTCCTTGAAAGCAGACAACTGGTAGAGCTTGCGCTTCTCCTTTGGCTGGAAGCGGGAGCGCATGATGCTGATAGAGATGCATATGGTGCCGAAGCAGACGAATCCAATTGCTCGAGTAGCCCATGCGAAACCGATTTTCTTCTCCAACTGATCGAACATGATTGGGTAGACAACACCACCGATGCTACTGCCACTGGCAGCCAAGCCGTTGGCCAGACCTCTCTTACGGCGGAAGTACTGTGGTAGGATGGCAACGGAGGGTACGAAAAGACAGCCTGCTGCAAGTCCTATGCAAAGGCCTTGGGAAAGAACCAGTTGCCAGTATTCTGTGGCAAGACTGGTCATCATCAAGCCAAATGGCAGCAGGAATGCAGCGAAGATGATGAGGGACCGGAAATAGCCAGCGTCAAACATTGGGCCAGTGATGACTCCAATCATCATCAAGAGAAAAGACTGTAGCGACCCAATCCAGGCAATGGTCGATGATGAAGTGCCGACGAGCAATTCTCGCTCATAATAGGTTTGATATGCACCCCATGTGTTGATAACGCCCCTATCTCAACTCATTAGAGATATGATCCTTTTATCAATAAAACACATACTTACCATGAGTTGAAGAAGAGAAAGAATGATCCTAAAACTTGAAGCCATGTCTGTAGTCCCGTATCGAATGTCAACTCGGGCTCTTTCTCTGGAGACTGGGATAGATTGTAGTCGCCATTTTCCTCGCGAGTGGCCGAAGAATCAGCGAGGGTTTTTTGTTCTATATCTGAGTCAGACCCCATGTTTCATGTATCGGTCGACTAGATACCCCTGACCGGTGAGGATGTGGTGTGTACAGTAGATGCAGTCCTGTCAACAGGTCTCGAGCATTGATATATAACTCTTTACAAAGTCACGATGGAGATAAAGAGTTTTCAAGGGCATTTTACTGCTTATAAACCCTCGAACTAAGCGGGGCTCGGGAATTCGGACATTCGAGAGATTATACTATAATCACTATAGTATAAGACAAGTTCGAATGTTGATATAATCAATCGGTTTGCTAGAATAGACCATGGAGTTAGTGTATTATTCAACTTGAATGTATCGTCTGCCTATATTTATCAGAATAACCTGCTTCACTATTTGATCTTTGGTCAAAATATCAAATGCCCATTGACGGCAAATGAATTGCCGAGATTGGCCTAGTCACCACTAGTGGGATCCTGGGCACAAGCCACCTATGCTACGGAGTACGGAGTACATAGATACAATATAAAAGAGTCTCATGAGTATCAAGATGGGCGAAGAAGCATTTCTAGCCTTTTGATTGCTCAGAAGTTCAGTGCCCGACGAAGCGGCCCAAGCCCGACCATCTTGGTTTCCACAGGGTTTGATACACCAGAATATGGATCCATTTTTGTAGCTGTCAAGTTGCGGTTGGCCACTAGTCCATTGCATAGGATGAAGATTCGAAGCAAAGGTCATTTATGTGAAAGTTTGGGGGTATCGGGCTCTAATCTTGAACATATAGATCTTGTCACTTGGATCAAGGGTCTTGACCGATCTGTGGTTCTTCATGCAGTCAGACAAAGTCACTCTCTGACAGCAGGGCCATGCAGTCATCCTGCAACATCGGACTAATGACTCATAAGTGTAGATCATATTTTAATATCCGATGGCTCATGCTAAAATGAGACAGATCTTCTTCCGAGGATAAACGCTATAGATATGAACGATATTCTGCAAATTGTACCTAAGAAATTTATCAACAGCCTCTACACCGTTCGATGGCAAAAACGTTATGACCAAAGAACATCCGTCTCAATTCAGATATTCTGTCTATCTGAATATGAGTATGAAGGAACTGGAGCTCAGAGCGAAAGTCTCAAGCAAGGAAACCTCCATCGACGGTCAGATGAGTACCTGTGATATAGGAAGCATCATCGGAAAGTAGAAATGCGATAGCAGTTGCGCACTCCCTCCCCTTCCCCGGACGTTTGAATGCTATTGCGGTTGCAATATGCGCAGCTTCCTCGGCGTTGCTGTTTGTCATAGGGCTCTCTATGAGACCGGGTTGAACTTCGTTAACTCTGATGTTTCGAGTTGCCCACTCGATAGCAGCAACACGAGTCAACCCCCTGACAGCATGCTTGCTAGCCGAGTATGCAGCACGCTGAGGAAAACCGCGGTCACCAAAGACGCTTGATATATTGACAACAGCTCCGCCGCCAGATTTATCGATAGCTGGAAGCTGGGTCTTCATACAATAGAAGACCGATGAGAGGTTGATAGCGATAGTCTGGTCCCATGCTTCCTTCGCGAGATCCGTGATATCAGAAAACTCGCCGGTAATACCAGCATTGTTGACGGCATAATGGAGAGCCCCAAATGTATTCACGGTCTCTTCTACAACCTTCTCGACCATTGTTAGGTCAGAAATGTCGGCCACTACGACCAGCACCTTCCCACCTAGGGCTTTGATTCTTTCCTCGATTTGACGAAGTGGCCCCTCCCTTCTGCCAACGATTGTCACACTCGCGCCTCTTTCGGCAAGTAGCACGGCAGTATCAGCCCCGATCCCCGTGCCTGCGCCTGTCACAATGGCGACTTTGTTTGCAAATTGTGTGCTTGACATTTTGTAAAGAAATGAACTATAAGGTAATTCCAGAAACAGGGCAAAATTGGAAGACAAGTAATGAAACTTTCGAGTAGAAGGGAGCTGGATTGCGAGTCAAGCGCAGGAGCTAATCAAGATCATCTTATACATTTTTGGCTCATAGAGGCGCACTTGATAACCTTGAGCGCATATCATGACGTGAAATTGCAGAAAATAGTCTCCCGTGAAACCTCACAGCTCACCTGATCAGTTCAAAATAAGGCATATCTAGATATGATCGACACATAAAGCGCCATTCAAACTAACGATATCCTACCCGTGGACGAATAGAACGCATTCGGTGTGATACAGCCACGCTTCCATCTGCGGGTTTAACTTATATCTGACAACACAAGCCCGACTGCATCTTTGGTCTTTTCGGGAAGCTGGTCTATGGCCTGGTGGAAAGTATGTCTGCGTTTTCGACTGCATGAAGTATCAGGTAAGTGGTCTTAATTAGCAGTCCACGGGTAATAGGCCAAATTGCTCATTCGATATCGCTGCAGCCCATGGCTCCTCGCGAGTCTATTGGGATATTTGCCTCCATCGCCGAGATATGGATTTGAACAAAGGGAAGAGGAGATCGCCGGCGGGATTCAGAGAAAACCTATGTACTACAGCATGTTTAACCCCCAGTGCGCCATCGCAATCTTTCCCATAGTAGCTTTGGACTGCCTAGCTCACCACCATCATCCATCATTCATCGATATCGATATAGCTCCTATATGACTATGTATAGTATAAGTTATTAAAGAGTGCTTAGCGGATAATTAGGTGATGCTTAGTGAGTAGACCATGCTGCCCAATGCTATAATAGTCCATGATCAAGGTAGAAGAATACTTAGGGACATGCACCTTTGTTCTTAGTGATCGAAAAGCGACAAGACGGAGCACTAATACGGAAATGAAAAGGGAAAGGTCTCGAGTACCAGTCTTTATTCGGTCTATATACTTCTTCTACAAGCCAAAGTGAGTATGTGCAACAAGATAAACAGATCAGATTATTTTTTAGACATGTTTTTTTTCCCGTTCTAGATTCATGTACAAAGCCTTGGTGGTGTGCATGTTACATCAAGGACATCCAAGTCTCTTTTTTCGACGGATTCTTCGAATCCCAGAACTCCAACGCTATGCTGAAACAAAAATAAAAGCAAAAGATGGAATACAGCCCCAGTCGGGTGCGGTACCAACCGTTCTGACCACTACAACAGCTCCTCGCAAGTCCAATCCTCATACCTAAAATCGAACATTGTTAGGCCTGGCCTGCTATTCATGCTTATGAGAGTATTTTGCTTACCATCCATCAGGCAGATATCGGCGAATGATCAGGGGAATCTTCTTCTGGTTCAACTCCTTCATAGCGATCTGCAGGGGATCGGTTTCACCCTCGAGGTCGACGAGAACGGGGGCGTTCATACTATGTCCAATATGAGCAATCCAGAGCTAATGGAATACATGCGCAATCATCTGTATCAAACTTGACGTACCTGATCTGCAAGGCACGGGTACCCAGAACACGCGCGCGCTCGTACTTGGTCAAGTACGGGGTGGTGGTGCGCTGGTCATTGGGCACTTTCTTCTCGCGCGACTGTTCCATCACTTTTCCTGCGTATCCGGCATTGGGATCGCCAGAGACAACGACATTATCGCCATTGGTGGTGGGGTAATCTTCTCCCTCAACCCCGTCTTCGCCCTCGAGGCCCTCTTGTTCCTCCGGCTCCTCGTCAAACACATCCTCACCGGGCTCGTAGTCGAAGCTGCGCACACCACATTGTTAGAAAATGGGTTTATACAAGTATGTGCGAACACATTGTGAAGCTGGCTGGAGGCGAAATGGAAGCAAAGCTCCTTTGCGCCTAGACCCCGGGCAATCTGGTGGAGGGAGATAGCTTACGTCTCTTCGACGTCGTCGTCGTGGCCGTAGTCAGACATAATGACAGTTAAACCTGTAAAAGGAGCGAAGTATTTGTAGGCCGAAGCGAGCGATGAAAGACCCAGAGGTATGGAGACAACTCGGGGGTTGAGGTGGGATTTGATGCTAAAAATCCTGGGAGCGGAAAAACTTCCTCTGTGTTGGCCGTCACCGCCTTTCTGGCAAAAATAAAATTATTGGTTTACCTTCACGTCCGAACCTCCTCGTGTACTGAGATACTTCTCTTTTCTCAATTGTCCCTTTGAGGGCCTCTTCTCACGATGGCCGTGAAACGTAAGGCCTCATCGGAGGGTCCGACGACTCCTAAGCGACGCCAGAAGCAGACTGTCCTGGACGATTCTGGTAAGTTTACAGTTTACCTCAAAAAACATTCAATAAAGTGACCCATTTGCTGATCATTCTATAGACATGATCTATGAAGAGATTCACTCCGATACTGAGTATTCCGCACCGGGTGCTCCAAGCGTAATGAGTGAAGACATGGACGGCTCTCCCGCGACCTCGGCCACCTCTTCCCGACAAAGATACCCATCTGAGCTCAAAACCTTTGCTTGCTCATTTGAGGGGTGCAACAAGGCCTACAATCGTCCGGCTCGACTCCAGGAGCATATCCGATCACACAACAACGAAAGACTCTTCAAGTGTGAGTTTGAGGACTGCGACAAGACATTCTTACGGACTACCCATCTTCAACACCATATCAAGAGTGCCCATACAGGTGTTCGAGACTATGTTTGCGACTACCCGAATTGCGGAAAGAGCTTTGTGAACGGGGCACGGCTTCGCAGACATGTCGCTACGCATGATGGACATGACAAGTACCGCTGTACCGAGTACGCACCTTGCGACGAGACATTCCGGAAGCACTCGACGCTACAACAGCATATCATGGTCGCTCATTTGGGCCAGAAGCCATTTCCATGTACTTACGTGGATCCAGCCACCAACGAGAAATGTAAGATGGCTTTTGACAAGGCTGGCAACCTACGGACCCACCAGAGCAGAGTCCATTCCGAGAAGCGATTCACCTGCGCAGAATGTGCCGAAAAGATGGAAACCAATCTATCAGATATGGGCGACGACAATGCGAACCAGGATGTATCATTCCCATCGTATGCCAGTTTACAAAACCACATTCGGATTGTTCACCCTCCTCAATGTCCCGAGTGTCCATTGGTCTGCTCCACAGCACGAGGACTGCGGCGCCACCTGGAGATCGCCCACGGCAACGTCTCTCTTGAAGATCGAAAAATCTTCCCTTGCACGGTCCCCGACTGCGGGCGCAGCTTCACCAAGCAAGGCAATTTGACTGTCCATATCCGCACAGTGCACGATGGCGAAAAACGGTTCGTCTGCGGCGAAACAGATCTTTCAAACTCCAAGAAGCTTGAGGGATGGGACGGCGTTGGTTGCGGTAAGCGCTACGGCAACAAGCTCACACTCGAAGATCATATCCGCACTGCACACTTGGGCCTTCCGAATGCCAGGAAACGACGTCAAGCAAAGATGAGCGCAAAGCCAGCGCAGAATTCCGTTTCCACTCTTTCCGCTCTCACAGGACAAGGCTACGCCGAGGAAACAGGACGACAGATCGCTTGCTTCTACCACGAGTCATGTCCACATCGTTTCCATCGCAACTACGATCTGTGGGTACACATGACCACCAAACATACCTGTACCGAGGACGAGGTCCAAAATCTCTTTATGCAGCGCGCTTTGCTTACTGATGAATCCGGCCCTGGAGGAACCTCAAACTCACTTGGTATCTATGGTCTTGGATACGATCGGGATAGTCAGTCGTATTACCAACAGTCATACATGGCGGGAGATCACTCTTCCGATATTGCTTTTGGCTCACAATCGAACGATTCGTCCTATATTCCTACCCAGCCGGGCTTGGATTCTGATTATTTGATGCAAGACGATTTTACAGCGAGTGCAGCCGGCGACATTGATTCTATGATACCCAGCCATAATCAGATGGCATTGGCCGACCCTGTTGATGCTTACTACGCGATGGAACAGTGAAAGAGGGCGCCTCTACGATGTAACGACTATCTAGCGTTCTTGATGTGTGTGTACACATGTACGACTCCAAAGTCCCTATCTACCTTCAGCCTGTTGGCTTGGGTATGTATGTTTAACTTGACAAAATAATCCATGTATGATCAGGTTCATAATGAATTGAAACTAGGGGGTCCTCTTATGAGGACTGGCTTGTTCTAGAACAACATGGAGTAGAAAATATTGCATGAGAGTGGATTTGAATTTGCTGCATGGGAGCGCTCGAGCTATGTACCAAATACTATGTGTTAGGCTTCTTCTAGCTCTTGATGTAACTCCTATACCATAGTAAAGTATGCATCTTCAACCAATGACCCGCCCAGTATTCTCGCGCATACTTCCAATGTTGCTCTGGGAATGATCTGGACAGAGGGAAGGGGGTGAGGGAAGGAACGATGAGCGAAGGTGACGGACGAGGAAAAGATGACTAAACTACCACGTCAATCAATCAAAGCTAGACATGGAACCCATTTAGACTGAAGGCATATAGCATATGGATGTCAATGTCCTTCAAGGTCATTGTGAGCCATGAGTATAGATGGAAAGCTTCAAGATTGTTTCTCATGTGGCCATACCAACATAGGTATAATCGACGTTCGAGAGAGAGTCTATTGAAATGAATCAGTTAAGGGCTTTGAACACGATCTCTGTTTGTATCTATTCCTTCGCAGCCCCAAAGCCGTGGGAAGGTTGAGAAAGCGTTGGGAGAAATCAAGCGGTTTCAGGAAGGTTGAGCGTAGCAAGAAACAGAGAACGTTCTTGCGAAGTGTGATCTAGCAGAAATGCAATCGACAAACAGGCAGTCCACAGATCTTTAAAGCCTCATGACTATCAAAATGTGGATTTGATATCAAGGGCAGACTTCCCCCGTTCGGAGATAAGAAGGACAAAATATCCCGAACAGGCTTAGACGATGGTATTAACCATCTTCATGACTTTGGAATTGTAAGAGAAAGGTGGAAAAGATGAAAAGATGAGAAGAACCTCGATGCCACATGGCTGATCTACATCTTTTTTCGATATACGAGGTGCTTATGACGCAGCGAGATCTTCATGGGGCGCTGATCCTCATGCTGCAGGAAATCGATCCATTTGATCTATGCCAAGACTGCGACTATACATATAATACCTTGGCCTCATACGGAGTAGGGAGTACGGAGGGAGTACCTCCGTGCCTCCGTACCTCCGTACTCCGTGCCGAGATGTCCATTCTAGCCACAAGTGCAAACTCCCTTTGAAAGATAATTGGGTTGTTCTAGGGTTATCTGAGCAATAGATTGTGGCTGAAGTGCCCTAATGCAGGAGTGACAAGGCCCGTGTTCATGAACTCCAAGTCCCGGGGTAAACAGAAACAGGGAATATAGTGTGCCTAAATTGTATCATGGACAAAGGTCAACACCGAGCCTAATGTATTCAATAATATGGGGAATCCAAAAACAGGGTTCCCCAAGGGAATGTACAACGCGTGTCCAAGCGATTATCTGTGGGCCCGTCGATAGGCGACGTGTGAGAGTGTGAGAGTCAGATTCGAGTGGCAATGGGACTGCAGAAATGCCAAGGTCAGGTTCTTTGGGTTTGATTTAATACCATCTTTAGTGCCAGTGGATCTTGAAATTATAGAATTAAGGGGGGAAAGGAGACATAGGGAAATAATAACATGTCTACGTGTTTGCCAACATAAGACATTTAGCTATATTTACCCATATCAATGCATACTAGTCTACTTATAGTTCGGGTTGTCTCTCCACCGATCATCCAATACAGGTTTGTGAGAATAAGGGAAAAAAAATTTAAAAACCCTCAGTCTGGGAAAAGAAACAGAAATTGGCTTGGCTTCGACTTTAGTGTCACAAGAGAGAGAGAGAGAGAGAGAGAGATACAACGTCTATACACAGCGAGATATTTATATAATTTCTTTGGGTCCACGGGTTTAGTCGCCTCCGGACTTGCCAGATGACCCACGGTACTTTTCTATCTCTCTCTCTCCCTCAGGGTCTTTCTATCTCCCTATTCCTTATTCCTATGCCAATCTTTCACTCTCTTTTGTCCCTGAAACTAAACTAAATCCTGGTGATTGAGTCGTTTCCAACCTTGTAACGTCATCTTCCTTGGCAGAGCTCTTCCCTAAAATCCGCCCAACCGCTCTCGTTCTCTTCATATTCTTATTCTTCCTTCGCCTTGCCCGATTTCATGGATTGATTCTGTTTTGCTTCCAGGCGCAGTCGCTATTTGACAGTCTCTCGTTCAGCGCAACCGATCTGCCTCGGTTTCCTTTTAAATCCTACCGCGCTCCCAGCCTCTCTCCTTACTTTCAAGACGTTGCACAATCTAACCGAGTGAGGGGTAATACTTCAATATCCATTGAAGTTCTCCAGTGGAACTATCACGTTCCGGCGTCATGGGTCGTTCACGTGGTAAGTCGATTCTTTGCGGGAAGGCCCGGCAATGGGACTAGAGTCCGTTATTGACTCTCCCTTGCGTCTTACTAGTCCGTTCGTTTATATCCAGCCTTGGAGGGTCGAAGAACAATGGTTCTAGTAAAGAAAGCAGAAAATCGTCGGGCAATGTTACGCCAGTGGCCAACGCAACTCTGTCCGATACACCACCCCGGTGGCAAACCACTCCCCCCCGATACACCATCTCCTCCAACCGGATTATCACCCGTGAGCTCTGGGCCACGGGGTGGAACTGGCTCACGACCGGCGTCCATGATTGTCTCACGCAACCCACCTCTCATGCAGCAGGAGGGCGATACCCCACCGGAACTCTCGCCAATATTTTCATTTCTCAACATCCACACAAACAAGGTCTATCATGAAGGATACTTCTTAAAACTGAATGATCAGGATTCTCGTAAGTGATCTCTATCACTCCAGTACCCTGCGGGGAAAAGATAGGCTAACACGTGGTAGACGGACGGCCCTGCGGTGATCGGCAATGGGTGGAATGCTACGCACAACTAGTCGGAACTGTTCTTTCACTATGGGATGGTGCTGCGCTGGACGCAGCAGGTGGTGAAGAAGTACCGGCGACTTTTATCAATTTGGCCGATGCGTCTATCAAGATGGTGAGTCTCACCCTCCCAGAATCATCAGACATGAACTCATCAGTTACTTGCAGCTGGAGACTCTTCCGATTCAGAATGGAGCGATAGCACCTTTGAAGAACGTCCTCAGCGTTTCTTCTGCGGGCAAGAATAGATACCTTTTGCATTTTAATTCTTTCAATTCACTAACCCAATGGACTGCGGCAATTCGTCTTGCAATGTTCGAACACACATCTTTGTACGAAGCTTACACTGGGTCACTGATTGCAGCGAAAGGAAGAAGTCTCAACGGAATCAACACCATCCTAGCACCCACAAAATTCAAGTATGAAGATTGGGCCCGTGTGCGATTTGGAGCAGGCACCCCGTGGAGACGGTGCTGGTTTGTGATCTGCCCGCCAGACGAAAAAGAGCTCCAAAAAGCGCGCAAACTTATGAAGAAATCAGCATACGACCGCCTGTCCATTCCCGTTACCGGAAACATCAAGTTTTACGAGACGAAGAAGACGAAAAAGGCGACTCCCATTGCAACGATTACCCAGGTTTACTCGGCATATGCAATTTATCCACAGTCTAAGGCTTTAATCGATGCATCCACCCTGGTGAAATTGGAAGGACGGATTACCACTCATTCACCTGATTCTTCCTCAGAAGGACTTGTTTTTATCATGCCTGAGCCGCACGCTGCGGTTTCTGGATTCGAGATGATGCTGCGCTTCCTTTTCCCGACGTTCGACACTTTCAATCTCTATGGCCGTCCTACTCGCCTGGTGGCGGACACTAATCACATCAAGAGCATCATGTTTGCTTTTCCCAAGGAGCGACGCTACGGCTATCTTGATGTGCTGGACATTGCCAGTCTTCTTCAAACCCCCGGAAGCCAAGAATGGAGCGAAGCTCAATGGAGGAAACAACTCAAAGAGGCAACACAGCGTCGACTCTCATCCGGCAGGACTAGAACCAATAGTGTCAACAGCGTGAGACCTCGCTATCGCTCGATGTCTGGCCGACACAGCGATGTTCCCGTGGACTCCACTCGCCGCCAGTTTGCTGGTCCCGAGAGCAAATCCGAATTCAGCCATTCTACCGAGGCTATCATCCATGAAGTCCCCCAAAACGAGGGCTCACCCGTTGCGTATCACAACCGCGGGCTTTCTGATACCACGGGCCTCAAGGCTAGCTCTCAGCTAGGCCATGAAACTTTATTCGAAAGCTCACCTGACTCATCCTCTCAAGATCTGGCTCACCGTGGTCTTCCCGCGGTCGCTCCTATCGCTGAGAGTACCAGCTCCGGAAGCGATCCAAATCTGGGCCATTTTCATGGCTTGTCAGTCGAGGAACAGCTCCCTCCACGCACCCCACCAGCTCCTGTTGCAAACCCGCCCGAATTTTCACATGGGCCCAAAGAGATGCCCACTCACCGGCCAGAGGCTTCTTCGGAACAGAGGTTAGCAAACAACCGGATGTCTCACGCAACACTTTCCCAACTCACATCGGTCGGAACGATGGGGCTGAGTGCGGCAGCTGCCGGAGCTGCATGGAAGAGTCACCAAGCACAGACTGCGAACAAACAACAGCCCCAAGACAAGAACCTGAACAGTGTCCACAAATCCGACCCCATTGCGTCCACAAATTCTCTTGCAACTTCATCAAGCGACGAGGACCTCGGCCTTGCATTCCCTGTTCGACCTCCCCCAGTTCCGCAGCATCGCCCGAACACACCTAGTACCACCAGCAGTCCACAGCGGTTTTCTCCCCTGCAGGATTCCCCTCTAAGGAAGCAAGTTGACACCAACAAATCCGTGCGACGCAAGCCACTCCCTCAGCAAAACCTCTTCGGGGCAGAGCCACCTTCACCAAGCGAGCCTAGTTACGATGATCTTCGCCATACCCTTGATGAAGATGCACTGAATAAAATTGCCCCTCATCTTCCATCCCCAGTCTCATCTACTGGAAAGAGAAACGACCACGAGGACGAGAGCATTTATGATGATGCATCAACGGTTTCGCCTGACTATGCTAGCACCCACGGCTCCGTCTACAGCAAGAAATCCACTGCGTCTACCAAACCCAGAATGGGTGTCATGAAGACCGTCGGAGTCCCAGCGGTTAAGGATTATGTTATTGGCGATGCCCATTATACTATGGATAAGCCCCCAACATCGAACCCGGATATCCCCACTGTTGACTTCGGCCCAACAATGACTTATATGCCTACCACCGGGCGCCCAACCACATCAGATGCCCTGAAAAGACCAGGTCATCAACGCAACGATTCATCGGGAACCAAATTTTCAATTCCTACTCAAGCAATTGACCAGGGTAATGCGCGGCCTTCCAGTCGAGACGAATTTCGACGGAGTGTCCTGTGGCAGCCTGGCATGGCTTCTGGTCGCCCTGTCACTCCAGGTGGAGGACTCACCCCGGAGCAGTTCGTGCAGCAACGGGCAGCCCCCAGCCCCCCCGATGCAGCTCCACAATCGCACCCCTTCGAATCCCATGTCAGTGCAACGCCCGGTATCTGGTGACTGGGCACAATATGCCCGTCCCAATTCGCCCATGAACACCCAGCGGGATCCCAACTATCGACCCTCGTCCCGCGGTGCCCAGAGTATGCTTATGCAACACAACGATGCTTCGACTACTCTTTCCGCCCGTGAGCAGGAGCACGTTGCCCGCATGACTGGCTCATCATTCTTCAACTTGTCAAGTGACAACCGGAAACCCCAGGCGCCGGTCAACCCCATGGGCCTTGTTTCGCACATCGATGCTCGGGAGCGCGAGAAGCGTGAAATAAGGGAGGGAATGTCGAATCAGGCGGTTCAGCAGGCCATCGCGCACCGTCAGCAACACATGATGCAGCAGCCTATGATGTACCAGCAACAGTATGCTCCTCAGCAGTTCTCCCCGCCGTTCGCACCTCAGATGCAGCCCCAACAAGCTGGCTCTGTGTATCCCTCCTCTGTGTATCCGTCTCAACATGTTCGTCATGAGTCCATGTACAACATTCCGGCTGCCAGCCACACATGGGATGCCCTTAACCAGACGATCCGCCCCGATGAACCCCGTCGATCGTCCTGGTACGGACAGCTTTCGCAGGCTCCTCAAACGCCGCCTGGCTATCAACAACAAAGCCAGCCCTACGGTCAAGAGCAGAGGTACTACAGCTATGCCAAATAGACTTGTTCCTTCTTTCCTCGGGCCCAGCTCTGTCTCGCTTCCATCTTTTTGTCACTACCTCGACTTTCCTTTCTATCCTTCCAACCCTCATTCCCTGCACATCATTGGCAGTATTTCCCTTTATTATGTTCAACTCGCTTTTCTGCATACCGATTGACCTTTGCACCTGGCTTTCAAGCCGTTCCTCTTGCATGCGATCGTTCTTCCACTTGTCAACACCACTCATTATCATTCCTTTATCTTTCATTGCTTCTTTTGCATCACGCATCCAACCGGAGTTCCAGACGAGCGTGGTGGGGTTGTCCCTTGATTTTTTATGCGAGTCGCTTGCTTATCTATCATTATATTGGGTTTCCTTTTACTCTCTTGGTTTTTTGTTATTCACATGTTTGTTTCAACATATCGACCCGACTCATGGAATTTGCGCCTGTATGTATGCGGTATAGATTGACCATGGATATCCAACCAAGCGATTACTACTTGTCTTGCCACCCCGTTTTTGTTTCTTTGTGAATTTCGTAGTAGCAAAGAGAGTGTGTACATCGTAGGCAGTAATTCCGCTCACAGGAGGTATAGAGGATGCCAAATTGCATGCAGAAGATGGTTGTCGAAAGAAAGTTGACAATATCGTAAAACTCAAATATACACATGAGACTTCGCTGTGAAGCTTATATTCCGAAGTCAAGAAGGATGATGCTTGATTCCACGCTCGAGAAACCCAAGTCACGATGTATACAATCGGAACATCTGATTCGAGTCCTATTACTTCTCAACTTACGCCATGGACCAATCCAGAACAGGTTTACAATTCACGAGGTGGTAGAATATGTAAATTACGACATCTATTCCACACTGTCAGGGTTGTTAGTTTGCCAAGTCAACTCCAGATTTGGACATCCCGAGCTCCATAGTTCATACATTTATAGTAAGCCGAGCACAAAAATCGGCCAATCAAAAAACAAGCATCCCTATAACAAGACATCTTAGTATGGAGTACTCCGTACATTGGGTGATCTCCGAGTATGAAAACTCTTTCAATATTCAAGTAGCCGAGCTTCCTCTATTGGTTCACAGGCTATACTTAGTCTGCACCTCACCTACCTAGTATCTTGTACACGTAGTCCGGTGTGACGTACCCCCGGTACTTTCGAGGGTGTGCTTTGAGTCCTTGGTCTTATGCTTGTCTTATGACAATTGGATATCACGTAGGTAGAATAGACAATCGTGTATGTTGTATGTTGTGTCCATTTATTGCCTCATGCTTTTTGGTAGAAATGAGATACATCGTAGATGTGTATAGAAATTGTACAACACAAGACAATATATGTCAACATTGACCTTTTTCCTACTGATATTGATATTGATATTGAATGTCAAGTCTATTGGGAAAGCCGTCGAATTGACGTAGCTGAGTTGGGGTGACGTCATGGGGCTACGGCCGCTCGACCAATCTTACAGGTTTTCCCCGGACTTCAGTCATTGTCATTGGATGTCTGAGGCAACGTTGTATATTGTGTACTCTTCGAAAGTCGAGTGACTATGGCCTCTATGTATATAAAAGGTCGTTTCTCGACAGGTAGATATCATATACTCTTCTGCCATAGATCCTTGTCTTTTATTTGTGCCATTGTGAACCTAATATATCTATACAATAGACCTTAATCAACACAGCCTCCCAGATGGTTGTCCCAACAGACCCCCCAGTCTCCGAGAAGCCAGATGCATCAAGCTTCAAAGATGAAGCCAGCCCACAAGCAAATAAGGACAAAACAGAACGGGGGGGTCGACACTCATGCCGAACATGCCTCCAACTCTGATACGACAAGCCACGAAGATAAACCCGAGTTTCGTACCGGCGGCAAGCCCGAATTAACAGAAGACGACTGCTACGAAAGCCTCGGCTTCTGCTTCCCAGTATGGAAGAAATGGATGATTCTCAGCGTCATCTTCGCGGTTCAAATGTCCATGAACTTCAACACAGGCGTCTACGCCAATGCCGTCCCCGGTCTGACTGAAAAATTCCGCATCAGCGAACAAGCCGCGCGAGTCGGGCAATGTGTGTTCCTAGTCGCATACGCCTTTGGATGTGAGCTTTGGGCACCCTGGAGCGAAGAATTCGGCCGCTGGCCCATCATGCAGCTCTCCTTATTCCTCGTCAACATCTGGCAAATCCCCTGCGCCCTCGCACCAAACTACGGCACCATCGTCGTATGTCGCGTCCTCGGTGGTCTCAGTTCCGCTGGAGGCTCAGTCACCCTCGGCATGACAGCTGATATGTGGGAAGCCGACGACCAAGGCTACGCAGTGGCCTTTGTAGTTCTCTCGTCCGTAGGCGGATCAACCGTCGGACCCTTTTTCGGCGGCATGATCGGCGAATGGCTCTCCTGGCAATGGGTATTCTGGATCCAATTGATCGTGGGAGCGGTAACCCAACTCATGCACTTCTTCATCGTCCCCGAAACCCGCACAACGATCCTAATCGACCGCGAAGCGAAACGCCGCCGCAAAAACGGCGAAGACGTCTGGGGTCCGAACGAGCTCAAAACCCCACGTCTGGACCTCCACGACGTCCTACGGATCTGGATCCGACCTTTCGAGATGTTCCTCCGCGAGCCAATCGTCCTCTTCCTCTCCCTCCTCTCCGGTTTCTCCGATGCCCTGATCTTCGTCTTCACAGAGTCCTTCGCCCTAGTCTTTGAACAATGGTCCTTCAGCACCCTAGCTGTCGGTCTAACCTTCGGTTCAATCCTCATCGGCTATATAATAGCATACATCATCTTCCTACCGGATATCCACCGCCAAATCCAGACACGACGCAAATGCGGCGCAGCAAGTCGTCTCGCAGAGCGTCGTCTCCTCCTCCTCCTATTCATCGCACCTCTCGAACCAATCGGTCTGCTCGGGTTCGCGTGGACATCAACAGGCCCGCCAATCCCCTGGATCGCACCCTGCATCTTCGCATGTCTCATCGCAATGGCGAATTTCGCAATCTACATGGCTACCATTGACTACATGGTTGCGGCGTACGGACCATACTCTGCGTCTGCAACTGGTGGTAATGGCTTCGCGAGAGACTTCCTCGCGGGTATCGCGACCATGTACTCCGTTCCCATGTACCAGAATATGGGAAGCAAGTATCATCTCCAGTGGGCGAGTACGCTGCTCGGCTGTGTGGGATTTTTGGTCTTGATTCCGATTTATGTGTTCTACTGGAAGGGTCCGGAGATTAGGAAGAAGAGTAAATTCGCGCAGCAGCTTGCGGCTGATCGCAATAGGCATACTGAGACTAGGAGGACTAGTCGGGCGAGGGCTTCGGTTGTGGCTTAGTGGTGGTTGGGGTTGATGTATTATATCTAGCCTTTCATTTTATGTATATTTGTATGACTTATGATAATGTTCAACATTCATATTAATTGAAATTGTAGCATATTGCAACCAAGTGTAGTTTTACTTCTTTTGTGAACATAGATAATTTGCACACGTAACTGGCAGTGTAGTAGGCAGGAAATTTTTACCTCATACACGCAGTTGAATGACGGGTCTCAAGAGTCTTAAGCAGCGGGAGCAAACCACTGACTTTAGGCTCTATCGGGTACCGCATACGATGGTAGAGAAAAGGTGTTTGTCTTGGATGTATAGGAACCTGGGGAAATGTATACTACCTAAAGTGGAAGGTGGGTCACTGTCACGTGCTGGTGGATATCCATCCAGGAATCCACTCGATGTACAACTCAATCCGGTCCTGACTGCAAGGTAAAAAGCTGCAAATGTATTTTTCAATCACAAAGATTGGTGTTATTGATAGATGAAAAGTTACATCCTAGCCCAAAACAGCGCAATGGCAAAACATTTATAAAGGTATCTCAAAACGCCACAAGTGCCAGCTTCCCTCGCTCCAATGCCTCAACTCGCCTCTCTACCTCGAAAAGCATCCATCTCATGCTAGAAAAGACCATCCCATGCAAAGAGATGTTCTGTAAATACAACATCATATCTTATATCCGACTAGATATTATCATCTAGCTCGAATGCAGCTTCTTGACACGCATAGCGCCTTCATACAGACCGCGGTCCAAAGCAGCAGCGACAGTCAGAGTACCACCAATGATAGCACAGACACCAGTAAGGAAGTTTGTGAAAGACTTCGGGCGAGCCTCACGGTTGATAACCTTCATAGGGGAAATATCGTAGTTGAAGAAGACGCCCGGAATACCGCCACCAGCATGCACACGCTCCTTGTGGCCCTCAGCAGCATCATTTCCACCGGAAAGAGGACGCTTGTGTGAGGTTACCGAGTACTGATGGGCCTCGATACTACCTTGAGTACCATAGGCGAGGCCGTGGGAGCCAAGAGGCGCCTTGTCGTCAGCATTGTGGACGGCAGTCGAGAACAGAGGATCCCAGCCCAGAGGCAAGTAGGATGTCGAGACAACCTTGACAAAGTACATGAAGTTAAAGGCGGGCTCGTCAGTCTCCTGCTTGGTATCGTCAAGCGGGTTGGTGTGGTGGTGGTCGGTCCATCCCCAGCGGCCCGCGAGCTCGGTGGGGAGCTGGGGCCCGAAGCGAAGCTCGTGGACCAAGTGGGACATTGTGTGTTGGTCCGCTGGGGCGGCATTAGGCACGATGTAGGCGTCCAGATCGTGGACGTGCATGTTGCCAGTGGTGAAGCTGCGGCCGGGTGCAATGTGGAAGTTGCCCACCACTTTGTTGACCTTTAGCACACCCTCGACCCGGCATCCTTCACGGCGCTGCTCGGCGAGTTTCTCGGCGTATCCCTCACGCTTGCATTGCTCAATGTTGCTGCCGTCGCCAAAGGCCCATTGCTTCTCGGCGTAGGCCTCGCGCACTTCCTCGCAAGTAGTACAGCATCCCGGTTTAATAGCAGTGGGGGAGGCGCAGCTCCACCACATTCACCACAGTAGTCGGGAGCCAGATGCTTCGCGGCCTCTGATGGAGAGTGTCTGGGCAGGGACGATGATGAGATTGTGATCAAGATGTGAGGAATTTCAAGTGTGAGGGCTGGCACTTACAGGTCCAAAGACTGGACATCAATCACCTTCCCACCTTCAGCGTGTGGGCCTAGGCGGACTTTATTCACGCCATGGGCAACACCGACCTGTTGCTCACCAGAAACATCCATCACGTCCAGGGTCAAGAGCTCACATGGCAGCCGAGGGAAGGTCATGTTCAGATGGATTTCCATTCGCTCTCCTGCGTAGCAAAATCGAGTTGTTAGCGACCTTGCCCTATCCATTTGATCTTCTGTAGGTCCATCGTGGGTCCGATCGAGTCCAAACTCTATTCATACCTCGCGATTTATCGACGACGAGTTCTGGCAGTACCACAACTCGTCGGTAGTCGACCCATTCACCCCACACCAGCCACATAACAATCAAAAGTGAAGCGATTGTAATGACACCTCCGGAGTTCGTGCGAATGCGGGCATCTTCAACGGTCTTGGCAAAGGCGTCTAGCCTCGTGAATCGCGACTTTGGGGGCATCTCGCCGGTCAATTGACGACCATATGGTGAAGCGCAAAGGCTAGGCGAGGGTTTGTGGACAGCGACAGTACGTTAAAAGCCTATAAAACAGAGAAAACGCGAATATGTCAGCTGGGTAGCCATTGGATGCGCAAGCTCTATTGCACGAGGGAGACCCCATCTAGGTGATCAGACCAAACAAACACAATAGAGCAAAGACAATAGGGAAGGCATTCATACCAGCAATAAAGCCCGAGCGAGCCAATTCAAACTCAATAGGACTGAATTTTCCAGGCACCTGAGAATTGAGACAAGAATAAGGCCAATTTGAAGCCTCCAAGTGGCTAGGCATACTTGCAGGGCCGATGTATGAGGAGTACTCGTGAGGACAGACGACAGCATGTGATTGGTCTGCGCGGAACAAAGAGATGAGTCATCATCTAATTGGGACTAGTGATAGACAATGCCGCCTCATCACGTGCCAATCGTCACTTTTTCTTTGAACTCACTTTACTATTCACGGTCTTATTGTTCCTTGGTCATTCATTGTCACTTTACCATTGTTTTGCAGCTGCACTACATAATCTGCAACCCCCTCTCTTCTCCAGTCTTTTCAGTTTGCTCGTTCTTTACCTCCCACCCTCCCGAATCAACATTTACACTGCGATTTCATCATATGCGAACAACTTCTTTCTGCCTGATCTGAGGCGCATAGCGCGCTGCTCGCTTCAACTTAGCAGTTTCAGCTTTCTTTCACATTACTACCTTTCAAAAGAACCTCCGATACCCCACCCAAATCTCAAATCTCTTCTCCTGTCATCATGAAGAGCATGAAACCTCGCCGCGGCGCCAACGATCGCGGGGGAATTCGCAAGCGGGGCCCTACTCGAACCGACCGAGATGGCGACATGGACATGGATGTGGGCGGTGCTCGTGCGAAGAGAAACCGTGCCGACAAGTCTGCCCTAGGTGGCCGCGCCGCCGGGGCCGGTGCAGGTGGCCGAGCTGCAGGAACTAGTAACCGGACCCAGACTCGCAACAAGCTCATGGATGCGGATGTGATTCAAAGAGCCATTTCCAGCGCCGATAGCCAAGCGAATATTCAACACGGCGGCAAGAAAAAGACAGGCGGCGACCTGGAACCGTTCAGTGTCCGAGGATGGAAAGAAAGCAAGGCGGCAAGCAATCGTGATGGCGGCCTCGAGAGCCTCATCGCATTCCTCGAACGACGTATGAATTCTTTTATCAAATCCGGACCCCGCGCAAGGATTACAAAGGTATGTTCCTCGTTTACAATGGCGGTCACCAACATCGATCCTCGACGTCCCCTCGCTTCAGTGTCCTCTCGTTTTCGATGACGGACCTCCTACAAAACGGCGATCGACACATTTGGGGCTCTTCGGCTTCTTCCCCCTTGGGTGACCGTGGTTTTCAAGGTCCCTTCGCACCTTTCTAACTTTCAAATTAGTCGCGCACTGAAGGTGACACCCTTGTGGCATTCGTTCGGCCTGATCTAGCGGGTCACATGCTTCGCATCAACAACAATGTCTTCGCCGGAACTCATATAACTGTTGAAGCATACACTGCCGCCACCGCACTTGACAATGAACTGGCTGCAGTGGCCCCCGTTCCTGGCTCGACCGCCGATACCAAGAATAAGATGACTACTATCCTCGGCAAACGCTTTTTCCCTGCCACTAAGCTACTCGACTTGTCAAAGATGATGGATGATCCTGAATTACACGACATGGGAGTCTTCGAGAGCATGTCTACTAAGTCTAAGTTCTTCCCTGCTCTTATGAAGGTCTGGGAATTGGGATTCAAGAATGCATCCGAGCGACGTGAGGCAGTCGAAAGTGTCAGTCTGGCGGGAAACAGCCTCAACAACATCACCTCCGTGACAACCCTTGCACAAACCTTCCCTGATATCCAATATCTGGACCTCTCAAACAACAACATTAAAAATGCGGCAGCGATGACTGCATGGCGATGGAAATTCCGCAACCTCATCTTTCTTGACTTGACTGATAACGAGATCAGTTCCGATCCCACTTTCAAGGACACCATGCTCAAGTGGTACCCCAAGTTGCAGACTTTAAACAACGTGCAAGTGCGAACTCCGGAAGAGGTCGCCGCTCAGAAAAGAACACCGATCCCTGTCTTGCCCCCTCACTTTGTCGACGAATCTCAAGTCGGCGAAAATTTTGTCCGTGCTTTCTTCCCTGGCTATGACAACGATCGCAACAGCCTCGTTAGCAGCGTCTACGATGATCAATCCACTTTCTCGCTGAATGTAAATACCACCGCTCCCCGGGCCGGTCAAACCGAGACCGCAGGCTGGGGTGAATACATCAGAAAGAGCCGAAATCTAGACAAGATCAGCCACCTTTCCGCACGGATGTCGCGCTCCTACAAGGGCGTTGAGAAAATCCGTGAGGTTTTCAATGAGCTCCCCCCTACTCGCCACCCCGACCTTGTCGCAAAGGCAGATCAATGGCTCGTTGAATGCCACCCGGTCCCTCATCTCCCTGACCCTACTGGGCAGAGCCCCACTGGCGTTGGTGGCCTCTCCCTCATGGTGCATGGACAACTTGAGGAGAGCGTCGGTGGCAAGGTTGAGATCCGCAGCTTCGACCGAACCTTTATTCTTGGCCCCGGTAACACCCCCGGTGGCATCCGAGTTGTCAACGAGATTTTCTGCCTGCGCGCTTACGGTGGACATGAGGCATGGTCCCCTGAGATTCAGGCACTTTCTCAAGTCTCTCAGACTGCAGCACCTGGTCCTGTTCCCACTGCGACCCCCACTCCCCCCCGCAGCTGCCCCGAGTGGCACCGTTGCTGAAGGATATGGCTTGCCCCGACCTGGGAAGTCCGATACCCAGCTTCAGCAGGAGCAGATGGTCACTCAGATGAGTAGCAAATCAGGCATGACTTTCCAATACTCAGAGATGGCCCTCGCGGGCAATGGCTGGAATCCCGAGCTTGCTTGGAAAAACTTCGAACAGCTCAAGGTAAGCTAATTCCAAGCATACCCCCTCGATTTGCTATGTGACGATAACTAACACATTCTACATAGGCTACCAATGCACTTCCTCCCACCGCTTTTCTTGCTCCAGCGTGAGCATGCTTTGGTTTCATTGAAAGCTTTCACATAGCCACTCCCACTCCCATTCTTGTTAGCTAGTCACCATTATCTTGGGTGTGGCTCTGTGGAAGCATAATGTATTTGATGTGACCAATATTTTTTTTTACTTGCATGGCTTGGGCGAATGGCACTGATTTCTGGTTTGATAGCCCCGAGATATGGACATGGGCCACCGGGCCAAGAACTTTATGAAAATCTTGAAAAATCAAAAAATCAAATGAACCCTCTATTCAAAATTTGCAGTTAAAATATAAGTAGCCAAGTGTAGGCTTGAGAGAATCTGAAGGGTTGTAACTGCGTAGAAGTAGCCCTGTGAGGGTTGCGGTAGTTGCGGAAGATGCCAAGCTGGCGCGCTAGAGCCATGCGGGCCCCCGATCAACCCCCGTTCACTTCACCCTCCCACGAATTCCGCATTGGCCTTACAGGAAACAAGAGACCAAGGGCAGGATGATTCTGGCGAGCTGGTGGAATGACGATCACTGCCAAAACCACCGGCCACATGTCGCCAAACGAGGAACCAAGCGTCGACGCCTTGGATGCGGGTGCGGAACAATTGACCTTTCGTGCTCCTGTATATGCTAACACAGCAGGTATGTCCAGTGGACTACGATCCGATTGAACACTTGAATGCCGTTTTCTCCCATCCATCCACCCTCTCCTCCGTTTCTCAGATATCCGACGCCCTAAACGAATGCGAAGATGAGCTTGACGATAACATCGGCATGCTCGTGGAGGAGCAGGTCACCTCCAATGCCGATAGCGTGGAACGAATTCAGGCAGCTAAGGCTGACCTATCGGAGCTTTTTAAAAAGATCGACGACGTGCGTGAGCGCGCGATGAAGACCGAGCAGTCAATCACCGACATGACAGCCGACATCAAGCAATTAGACAACGCAAAGAAGAACCTCACACTGTCCATGACGGCGCTCAAGCGCCTCCAGATGCTGACGACGGCGTATGACCAACTCCAAGCTCTCAGCCGGACGCGGCAATATGGAGAATGTGCACAGCTACTCCAAGCTGTCATTCAGCTTATGGCCCATTTCAAGTCATACCGATCGATTGACCAGATCGCAATGCTCAGTCGGAATGTCGCTGACATACAACGAGACCTCCAAGAACAGGTCTGCGAGGACTTTGAGCTGGCCTTCGCCAAGGGGGAGGTGGGCCCGAAGCGCGCGATGCTCGCGGAGTCATGTCTAGTCGCAGATGCTCTGGGTGAACACGCACGGTCTCGACTGGTGACTTGGTATTGCAATACACAGCTTCGTGAGTACCGGCAGGTCTTCCGGAACAACGAGGAGGCTGGATCATTGGATAATATCTCCCGCCGATATTCATGGTTCCGGCGCATATTGAAGATCTACGACGAAGAGAATGCGGCCATCTTCCCGCCTTCGTGGAGAGTAAATGAGGTTCTAGCCAATGTCTTCTGCGAGGGTACACGAGATGATTTTAAGGGTATTTTATCCCGATCTGTACGAAGCGGACAGACAATTGATGTCAATTTGCTCCTCTCGTGCTTGCAAGAGACGCTTGAGTTCGAGCATTCTCTTGAGCGTCGCTTTGCCCCTTCATCGCGTGCATCTGTTGATACATTTGCCTCTGCCGAACCGCCCGTATTCAACCAGTCAATTTCCGAGGCCTTCGAGCCATACCTCAGTGTCTGGGTCGAGGCCCAAGACAAACAACTTGCAGCCCTGATACCGAAGTACCGCCAACAACCCCTCCAAGTACCGGATGAGGAGGAGTTCAATTCGCATGTTGTGATTTCATCATCGACTGAGCTTTTCACTTTCTATCGGCACGCTTTGCAGCAGTGTGCCAAGCTCTCGACTGGTGGTAGTCTGGCGGAGCTGGCCAAAGTGTTCGCCAAATATCTGGACCAATATGCCCAGCAAGTTCTTCTCAATTATATAAGCGAACGACCAACAGTTCACACGCCATCTAGGGTGCCCTCGGTGGAAGATTACGTCTCAGTTTTGAATACTGCTGATTACTGCTACACCACTTGCAACCAATTGGAAGAGAAAATTAGAGGCAGACTGGATGAGAACCTGAAGCAATCCGTGGATCTGCAAAGTCAGGCAGACTCTTTCATGGGGATTGCATCCGCTGCTGTACGAGGCCTTGTGCGCCAAGTCGAAGTCGATCTCGAGCCTTCTTGGCGCGAAATGCGCAATACACCTTGGGCTAAAATCGAGGCAGTCAGTGATCAGAGCTCATATGTGGGCGAGATGCTCTCCCGGACGAAGGAGAAGGCAACTGGAATTCTAAAGTTGTTACATAAACAACAATATGCGCGTGCTTTCTCCGATCACCTGGTGGAGCTTATATCGAGCCAGTTCATTAGCAATGTCTTTCAATGCAGGCCGCTTTCAGAAACCGGCGCAGAACAAGTATGATGTCCTCCTCTGCGATGCCATGATATATCGTACTAACTCCACTCGCAGATGCTTCTTGATTCCTATGCGCTCAAGAGCGGCCTTACGTCCCTGTTACCTGCTCCAGCGCCCGCCGGCTTTGTCAAGCGTGTCAACGCTAGCTTCTTCAAAATCGAAACTCTCCTCAAAACCCTCCAGGTCCGGCCGTCACCACCGGAAGCTCTTGTACAAGCTTACCTTATCCACATTGCCGACCGCAACAACAACAACTTCCGCAAAATTCTCGATCTCAAAGGCATCCGCAGCCGCCAAGAACAAAACCACCTTGTGGAGCTATTCCAGCTTCACCGTGCATCAGAACGCTATGCATCTAGCCTTCAGCAGAGCAACCCAATCCTCGCCTCTCTCCAAGGACCATCTGCCACCGCCACTGGTTCCGTATCTCAAGGCTTAGGTCTCGGCACCACAGCTGCCGCAGTCATGCCCTCCCGTTTTGACGCTTCCATGCTCGGGTCTGCCATCATGTCCGCCGCCAAAGATGGCGTTGACCGCTTCGGAAACCCCAGTCTAAGCACTCTAGGTGCTGGGGCTACCGGGACAGCTACATCCACACCTGGCGTGACCAGCCCATCAGGCACCTTGTCTCCTTCTCTAGCCAGCTCCACCCTACAATCTAATCACATACACACGCCGACAGAAAGCGCCACCGGAAACCTCAACGAGAACCTGAAGAACATTGGCAAATTCTTCCGCCGCGATCTCGGCGGTTTTGGAAACCGGTTCGGACGGAGCACTGAGGATGGGGCGTAGGTCCTCCTCACCTATTTTCATTCTGTTTTTGTTTCTTTTCTGGTTATATCTTGACTCGGCCGTGGATACCATTGTAGAAATTTTCTTTGTTGTTTTAGCTAGTTTGTTCGGGTCATTACATACCCAAAGGTGTATAGCTTATGTATGCTCAAGGCACCCTGTCTTGACCTCATGTTTTGCAAGTTGCATACCACTTGGATCATGCATTGAATGCCACATCCGCGTTGTTTTGGATATAATTTCACATTTTTCAGTTCCACATATCAAAATCCAATCTATCGTCTAGTGGGTCAATTTTCTTCGAAAATATTCTCTTTTGGTCTACGCCCTTCCAATGACATGTCCCGATAAGGAAGGGCTCTACGATAAAATATCTATATCGACTTGCTCCCTAGTCATCCACAACCTATCCATTTCCCAAGCCAACACACCAACTCATCAAAACAGCCGCAATGGTTCCCCAAGCAACCCAAGAACCCCAATCCCCGGGATACACCCTCCGCGCACACCGACCAGGTGATATAGGCTGGGTAACCCACCGCCATGCAGTACTATACGAAAAAGAGTACGGCTGGGGTACAAAAATGGAAGCGCTCGTAAGCAAAATCGGCGCCGATTTCCTCGACAACTATGACGCATCTACAGACCGATGCTGGATCGCCGAGCGCAACGACGAGTTCCTGGGTTGTGTATTTCTCATTCGAGACCCAGACCCAGAAGCCGTCAACACGGCTAAGCTGCGTCTTCTCCTTGTTGAACCCAGTGCGCGAGGCCTTGGACTTGGTCGTGCGTTAATCGAGGAGTGTACGCGATTTGCGCGTGAGAAGGGGTATGCGCGGATTCGGCTTTGGACGCAGAATGTTCTTGTTTCGGCTAGGAGGCTGTATGCGAAGGAGGGGTATCGGCTTGTTAGTTCTGAGGAACATGAGGATTTTGGGAAGAAGCTTGTTGGGGAGTGTTGGGAGTTGGATTTGTGAGGGTGTGGTTGTTATGTACATAGTTATGGTTGTTTACATGATAAGCAAAGAAAAGAGCATTGTAAGAATTCGAGTACAACACAAGAAGAAAAGGGTTGCAGATAGTCTTTTCCGTGTCTCTGCGATGTAGTCCACTTTGAATTTGTGGTCAGAGTAATTCAGGTCTGCACCAAATAGTATCATGTAGTAAAGTAAAAAAGACATAACGTTCCATGGCTATGAATATTCATTTGCACACATGGCTATCAGAAAAGAAGAAGGGCCATACCAGTACCCATGCCTGGGCCACGCCCAACCCCTAGGGGTCGGGAATGCTTAAGTGGAATATCTTGATGATCGTGGCCTCGGCAGATCGAATGCCGGTAGCTGGGGCTATCAGCATGTTTTGAATGAGCCCACTGACCCACTGAGTGGGGTGTCGGATGGTTGGCGTTGATCTTGAAGTTATAGGAACATATGCTTCCTAGACGGGAAAGAGGGTATATGTCACGTGCTGATGTTAGAATACTATATATAGTATTCTCACTGTTTGGATCTTGGTATTTCCTTGAGGTTATAATGTATAGAAAGTACTGGGCAACTGTTGAAAGTGTATACAATGTATGAAATGTCAGAACCCTCTGTATAGCTCTGGATGACTGCGATGTCTCAAGCTTTAATAAGGTCCCAGGCAAAGTGGGTCAAATCTAGGACCTATACCACGTGATATGGAACATAGAGTCGAGGTATTTCCCAGGGGTTGCGATCATTTGATTGCATTGTCTACCTAATCCTAGGGGAGGCGCCAGGAGTTCATCGAATACATGCATGACACATCGCCCTAACCCAAGGTGATTAACCAATACTACAAAGAACTCCTGATATTGATCGCTCCTCCAAGAGTATTTTAAATTTTGCTTTTCGGGGTGATCGTCATTCCAAATGGATAGTTCGTTCAGAACGTACGTAGCTTGTTGCAACCTTGTCCTGATCTAGTCTAACACTCTTAGATGTCTTTCTTCGTTGTTCATCTTCACAATAGGTGCCGACAAGAACGAGCGTGCATTCTGCTGCTTTTGTCAAACTTTCTCAAAGCTTGAAAGCACTTATAAATGACCAAACTTATTTGAGTGGATTTTGGGGGTCAGTAATGGCGGAGCTCATGGGGGAAAACGATATTCAATAGATGGAAGAGAGTACAAGGGCAGTCAACCTCAACAGTTGAGGGACTCATTGAATTGGATTGACGTGAACCTTAAGAATTTCCGCCGATCGAAAATCCTCATTTATCTTCAAACGCTGAATCCTTAAGAAGCGTTTTGATTTCCAATCAGCGTTGCATTCAAACGCTGACTAGCGTCCTTGACTTTGACTCGCCAACATTCCCCTTTTCTCATCTTCCACCACTCCCTAGTAATGCTTGAGACTACCCCCCTGCTTGGGGAGCAGAAAGCCACGAGATGGTTATCGATCTACTGGTTGTCCACTGTCGTCTTCTGCCTGTCCGTTGCGGGGGCCTTTCTCGGTGTACCCCTAACGCGACTTATTGAGGACAAACCTTTGCAATCGATATGCTCAAGGCGCCCCAACTGAAGAGCTCTGCAAGACTGATAAGATTCAGTCCAAGTTAGCCTATCTCAATGGCAGTATCCCTCTTATGGAGGCGGTGGTTGGTACGTAGGAGTAATTGTTGGTTCCACCCTGGATGTCCGACGCTGACTTGCTCTAGGTCTCATTGTGGCATTTCCATTTGGAATTTTGGCTGACAGGTGAGAGAGACCTTTGTGTGGTTCGAGTATCAAAGCTCACTACTCCCAACTACCCAGGACGGCCGATTGGTCTCTCTACTTCCTATGAGGTCTATTGATGAATTAACAGAAGGAACATCATCTTCAAAGGTTGAAAGCTTAGAATAAGCGTGGAATAGAATAGGATGAGCGAGGTAAGCCTATCATAGCTATATTGAAGAGCCTTCGCTGACTTTCTGGTTCGTAAACGTTCTCACAGCTAGATCACAAAAGAAAACCTATAATTTTTTTTTTTACTATCTAAGAGCAGGCGGCTTGGCTAAACGATGGAAAGGGTGGGGTTTGTGGATGATATAGTTCAAATATTGACTCTTAACGCGGTTAAGGAGCGCTGAGCATCTTTTAAGAGGCCAAGTAATCCATGCACTGACAAGCGCCTTCCCGTTCGCGTCACGATTCGACTTTGCGAAAAGTCGAGAAGCAAAAAGATTCTGGCGACATTTGTGCTCCTTGCTACAGGCCAATCGAGAAAGACAAATCCATTCGGTACCTGCGGACGAAAGTCTTAAGGCTAGAGAGAGAAAGAAAGAAGGATCGGAATCATGGAGGATTTCTGTTGATATGTTTCCCCATGATCGCCATGTTTGCTTGTTCACCAAACATCCTCCATCTCCTCATCGCTCAGTCCACAGTCATACCTCCGTCAACCGTCACACTCCTGTACCGTCTTCCAATTATTCATCCCTGCTCGATGAGCAGATGCGCCAAAATTATTGCCTATGTCCAGGTGGCTTTTCAAACCGTTTTTCTTTTCTTGCGGGAAGCATGTATACCTCTCCATCTTGAGGTAAGCGCAAATGAATATCTGTTGAAAAGGAAAGTCGAGGTGGACCACTGATGCCTCCTGGGAGACTATCTGAAACAACACCTATGCTTAGAGGGAACAGATGCGCATCATAGTCCTCGTCTGGTCTGGAGCACAGAGATTCGATATGGGCACTGCTAGATCCCCATTTCAAGAACTCTTGTGGCACGTCTTGATGATTCCGCGCGAAAGAATTGACAAGCAGCCCTATCACCATGACACCTCCCCATATGGTTGCAAGGACGATGGGAAGTAATGAATATCCGACCACTGAGCCGCTGAAGCTCGAGGAATCCAATAGCTTGCCGTTGGTATCGAAGCCTATGGTTTGCACAACGAACAGACTTTCAGACACAAGCCAGTGAAGTATTATCATAGCGATGATGAGGGCGATTGAGTATGTGAGAGGAAGGGAGAGTACGTAGGACGAGCGCTGCATTCCAGTCGGCGTAGAAACGCGCAGTGACTTCTTTCCATCTGGGTGTAAAAATCGCACCCACTGGTCGCCGACAAGCTGATGCGTCAAGATGTTGTTATAAAATAGATAGAGAAAGCTGACTATAAGCTGGACACCGTTCGCAAGAAAGACACATTGTACCAGGGTATAGTTGCGTGTTTCGCTACCTAGGCCGATAAAGTCAGGATTGAGGCCAAATCCTAGGTTGATAATAGTCGGTATGCTTAGATCAAGGCCCCGAGGTTTCCAATAAATGACGTTATCGACCAATATAGCCATTGGTGCTGCTATTCCGATGGTCAATCTAGTTTTTCATCCATTAGCTTTGGCCTCTGTACATAAAGCTGGTGTTCGTAAATCATACAATGTCAGGGATATCCCCCATACCTTGCGGCTAACCGCTTTGAACCACGAAAGCCGGCGTTGGGGGCACCAGACCTGTTGGCGCATACGAACGGCCTGTGAACTTGACACATCTCCCGGATGTTCTAAATACTCCGCGATAGCATCACCCATCAAGACCATCGTACTCTCACTTTGGCAGGATCCAGCTTTCGTGCGAGACGACCACCAAACAAGCGAAATGAAGTAGCATTGAAGCAATGTGCAAACACTCACGACAGTAAAGACCTGTGTTCCATAGTGCAAGCCACATTGAGGGCTGTTGGCGTTCTCGGCACCGACAAGGCAGTAATCGATCTTCACTTCGAAAGGCCAACCAGGCTTATCTTTCTCTTCGTGGGTATATGTGATGACTACCCAGTCGTCAATAAAGGTATCGGCCCATTCTTTGGAGCATAAAGACTTGTAGCCGGGATTATATGCTGAACATATCCACCAGGGCGACCGACTCCAAACATCATACTCTGTAATTAAACCACTGATAAGTGTGTTGCCGTAGTTCTCAGCGGCTGTGATGTTGGATGCCACAACAACCAAGGGTTTCTTAGGAGTGAGAGGGTCGATATATTCAAGCATGCAGTCTCGCTTGTTTAGGCGCGTGAAATTGGTCACCTGGTAGTACAACTCGAGCACTGGGGTCCAGTCGCGTGTAGATGCGTATTTAGAAAGCCAATCTGGAAGAGGATCCAAGGCCCAATCATGCCCTTCCCGGAAGTCGCTTGTAACTGTAGCTGAAACGTAACTCACGACTGGGGTCGAGGCGAAGAAGAGAGAGTTCCAACTTGAAGAAAGCGAACGGTATAGGTCAGTAACACTCCCGAGGTCATATTTACCTACCGCCTGGCAGTAGGCAACATCCAAAGGAACTCACAATAGATGCAAACAGATTGACAGAATCCCGAGTCCTAACCAGTGAAATATTCTGCGCCGCTTGATCCAACGTAGGTTGCGAAAACTCTGTATGCCAATATCGAGCGAGACGCCTTGAGCATGCGCTCCATCCATCTCCCGTCGAGATGGTGAGACCAAAATTTGCATACAGTAGCTACCAGCACCAAGGAATAGGGAGGATATTACGTTGAGAATGACATGTATCCCGCTGTTGATAGATGATATCTCAGAGCAGTCGCTCATGCGTAGGGTTCCAATGCCCCGTGAATCCGGCGGGAAGTACACCCAAACACAGACTAGTAGGACTATATTTGCCACGCATATAACAGTTGCCGCAATAAACTGGTTGCGAAGCATTTTGGATCGTTTGGATGCGGCGTTCTTGCGTGTTTTAGACCGCACATGCTCCTCGTTGATTTCGGGAATGTATTGACCTAGTATTTTTTTGCTCGCGTATGTAAGACAAATTTGGTCTGCATTGTCGAAGGTTTCGTCGGCCGTAGGATATTCTCCGACATCGTTTCCGTCCCGGTTCTCGTCCGTGATGGTTGCTGCCGGACTCAATGTGGTGTTTTCCGTTCTGTTGACGTGCGTTAGGAGAGAATCGTTCTCGTTTGCTAGCACCGTATCGGCTAGACACCTCATCTCGAGACTATTTCTCGAACTCATTATGAGGTCACTGTATGAATCAAGACAGAGAGAACAAGAGGCCCGTGGGCCATAAAAAGAGTGTAATTCTAGAATGCAGCGGAGAGGGGAAGAATAGGGGAGTAGTCTGGGAGTGAGAGAGCGAATAAATTCGCTAGATCTGATTAAATATCCAAACAACCAGTTGGGCTGCTGAAACACAAAACTTCTCAATAGCCAGATGGGATCACCTAGAGAAAAGGGGTCAACAATAGAAGGCCAATACTTTAGGTCAAACAAAATAGCATCGTCTCATCGTACCTTTCCTCTGGAGGCTGCCGCAGCCCAGATAAAGAACGTTAGTGTATAAGAAGCACCCCCCCACCCTCCGAAACTACCAAAAATAAACCCCACGGGGCTGAGTTTATCAGACGGAGTGCAACCATATATGGCATATGCAAGCGCCACATAAATGTGCCAAGTGCAAAACCAGGAAATGAGTGGACGGCAACTGATTAGGTCGAAGGCAACCATCACATTTGGCGGATGCATTAACTTGCCTCGTTCATGTGCCAAGGCCTACTATTGCCTTGAAATTTAGCCTTGGAAAGCAAGAAGGAGCGAGGGTTCTCCCAGGAGTCTCTGTACTTATCCCAGGGCTAATGCGGCTCCCAAGAACTTCCTGTAGGATTGAGAACGAGATACGCAATGTAGGCCCTCCACGTCGTATCTCCTTCGCTCATCGCTTCGTGATGCACAGGCTTTTAGTGTGGAGAAAAAGGTAGCGTGAAGTACCAGTCACGGAGTCAGTAACTGAGCTTGTTCCTCAGAAAACTGTACGGAGTACTGTGTAGACGAGGCTGACCTACATCAGCTGATTGGAAACTGGCCTGCGTCTCATAGCCCGAAAACCAACGTTCTGTGATAAGACAATAAGACTTAAATGTAGACACTATAAAGGATTAAGTGAACCGTTTACGAAATTGGTCTTTGAAATAGGGAAAATTTCGAAAAAAAAAAGTATAGTCTGGAGGTGTTGATTATTGACCTATACCACCACTGACAAAGACCACTAGAACCGCAGCATAGGCCGCGCAGGCACTGAAGATTTCGGCTCGACGGGCGTTGGTAAGCAATGAAACACACAGCGCGAACGCAAGTGTGTAGCCTGCAATGATTCCTAGCCGCTTTCCCTCCTCTTTCACATAGTAGAGATTCAAAATTGACCCGAAGAGAAGTGTAGCAGCGAATATGATATTCAGAGTCACGGCCACCAGCGTGATACGATGCGACGAGATATAAGCAAGATTTCCCCCTTCCGTACTGCTACCGTCCATGAAGAAAACTGAGCAGTATGTTCGTAGGAATGCAGTCAGCCGATCCTCCTCTGGCTGTCGAACAAGCGCCACTAGATCCTCTCGATTGTCGTATACTGTGCTACTATTCCCCTGTAGGGTGGGGAAAGGCTCTTTGCTGGTCCCTTCATGCCAGAAGTGCTTATTGAATGCCTCATTTACCTGCTTTGATGGTCGACGCATGGACAGAAGTGCAGAATCCAGCAGAAGCGTTTCCTTATATTCCTTGAGGCTTGTTCGGATCTTCATCGCCAGTTCCATTCGCTTGCCATCATCCTCATGCCCTCCACCTGGCTCCTCTGCCCTTTTCTTGAAGACTGCCCAGTCTCGCCTGCCATCTCTGGCACCGAGATTCGTGGAGTAATAGTCCTCTCGATCGTATTCGTTTTGAAGGGATTCGAGTTCCGCGAGCTCGCTTTGGAGGTAAAGGAGGTTGCGGGCCGACAGTCGATCGAAACGTTTGAAGATGAAAGCGCTGTGGTCTCGATCACTGGCGATGAAGTTCGCGAGGGATGGAAAGCCCTGGATGTACCGTACCTCGATGCCGTCTTTCTCGGGGTCTTCACTCATTCTGGGTGGACAAAGACATTGCCAGACTCCCCTCCTAGAAATATTGAAGGCAGAATTTTGCGACGGAGACTCAAGAAGCCTTCTCGTGGCAGCAACAGCCTCAAGAGGGGCAAAGAAGGCGGTGCTATCTTGGCGGAGGCTGAGCAAGGCTGATTATGGAATACCTCTCAGACACGGATTTCTCACCTCATGCTCGTTCGAACCCCATCAAAATCTTGCCTCAGGGTGACCGAAACAATAACCAACACTCATCGTGGTGTCTCTATTCTTACCAGCTGCGAGGTCTTTCCTGCAGCCGCCAGGGGCTCACCATGGGCACCTCCAATATCACCGTCGGTAATGCGGCCAACTTGGGAGCCCGGAATAATAGGTTTGGGTTTTCTCCTGGGCAACTGGGGCAACTGAATAAGCTCAAAAACCCCAAAAGCCTGGCTGTGTTTCATGCGCTTGGAGGGCTTCGCGGGCTGGAGAAGGGTCTCCAGACGGATATCCGCTATGGCCTCAAACACAATGAAACTTTCTTGGACGGCACTGCTGGGTTTGATGAAATCACGACCACAGGTAGCGACAACAAACAGGTTCGGGCTCCCCAGCAGCAAGAAAACGGACTACATTGTGGAAAGCAACTGGACAGGTCCTTGGACGATCGGAAGCAGGTTTTTGGCGACAACTCCTTACCGAGAAGAACGGGCAGGCCTCTCTGGGAGCTGATCTGGCTGGCCCTCAAGGATTGGGAGATAGCCAGATTGGCAATTATCGCCGTCGCATTCCTCGTGAGGGAGTTTTACCAGGGAGATCTGGATTGGTTTAACATAACTACAGCTACGGCATTTGCAACTATAGTCAGCCTCTACTACTGGCAAAAGGAATCTAAGTCGAGAAGGTCGAAGAATACGAGAAATTATCGTGAAATCAAGGTGATTAGATCAGGGAAATCGATGTTGATCTCTGTTTGTGATATCCTTGTCGGTGACGTGGTTTGCCTTGAGCCTGGGGATGTCATCCCCGTCGACGGCATCCTCATCGAGGGATTTGGTGTCAAGTGTGACGAATCTTTCCACACGGGGGAGTCGGATGCAATCAGAAAGCGTACGATTGAGGATTTTCCAGTCCTCGTGGCCCAGACCATGCTCTCCAAAATGGATCCCTTTATCCTGTCCGGAGCCAAGGTACTGGAGGGCGTGGGCACTTTTCTGGTCACCGCCACCGGCGCCCGCTCAGTATATGGACAGAGACTCATCTCCTTGCTGGACGACCAAGACAGGTGCTCAATGACAGCGCAATCTTCTCCTCTTGCGAGTTTCGAGACTGGTCTCGGTCTTGCAGAAGCCATTATCCTGTTATATCGTGTTGGCAGGCTTGACGAGACTGCTTGGGCACATGGCCATGATGAAATTGTCGCTTTGCTTATTACTTTTTCCTTTCTGGCTGCCAAAGAATGGATGCTCAGAGGTATCGGTATATATGGGATGTATTCCACATCCCTCGTGAAACAGCTCATGACAACGAGTGAAAGACAGTTTCACATACTTGAATGGAACACTCCAGCCCCCAAATATTTCTCTAGGAGCTCGATTGGGACACTTCTATCCAAATTCTCGAGTCTAATTCTGTCAATTCCACTGGTTCCATTTCAACCCCACTCGCCCGGTAGTGCTACGTTACCTGTGATAATCAACGGCCAGAAGGTGCATGCTATACCAGACACCGGGGCAGACGAGAATGTGATATCAACCGCGTGTGTATTACAGCTTGGACTCACTATTGAGCGAGACCCTGACCCTACCACGTTTAAACTAGCGAATGGGCGATGCGTTCTCAGCTGCGGATTGGTTAGGTCCTCATTCACCTTTGCTCGCGGAGCGAACAAACTCAAGGCTCCAGCAGTCTTTAAGGTGTTTCCAACTCTTGCCGTGCCCCTCATCATGGGACGCAAGTTTCTACGGGACACCAAAACCTTGACCAAGCATGACGATCGTTTGCAGAAAATTTCCAATTCACGTGCATTCGGACTTCCTCGCATTTTCCATCTCAACCCAGCTAAACAGCGGCTTCGGTGCTATCTTGATGGCATTCCTGTATATGCGAACGCTGACACAGGCGCTGAGATGAACCTTGCGTCGCCAAAATGGGCATCCAAGAATAGAATGGTCCTCAGAAAACCGGAACCGGGGTACGAGCGGGTGATGCTGGCTGATGGAAGTATCGCTCACATTTCTGGACAATTTACGGCAAGGTTTCATGTTTTTCAGAAAGGGTCCAAAGGTTCTACGCCTAAAGTTTACACGAAGCAGTTCTTCATCCTTGAAGGCCTGACATCAGATGTCCTTCTGTGTCAGGATTTATTGTTGGAAATCCGAGCTTTCAAAGAGCAGCAAAAAGCGTTTATCGAGCTTAATAACGCCGACACTTTCTCCGATCTGAATCTTGTCAGCTGGCTTTCAAAACGCGAGAGGAGATTTCTTGCCTTTTTCAAGAGGGATTCTCCAAGTAAAAGTCCACCAAAACCGCCTGTCGTTTCATTCCAACAGCAGTTGGACGTGGACGCCGCTCGTGAGCAACACAGACACACCGAAGCACTGCGTGGGATATCAACCCTTGCAGAACCCGAAAGACAAAATCGCCTGAAGCAAGAGACACAACGGTACGAAGCCTTTCTTTATGACCATTCTGCGCGCATGAAGGCATATCACGCCATGAAAGTAGCGATACCAGGTAATTCGCTATCCTCGAGGACGAGCTCCCCTTCGCACGCGCCTTCGGCGAATGCCTCGAGCATGAATTCTACTAACGACGGTGCAATTTGAGAGACTTCCCTTGACACTCTCATGTCAACGCTCTCCATGCCTGTTGCATGTTTCTTTTCGTCCTTTATTCAATTCTGATATGACTCTTGGTTGGTGCATTCTGGGTACTCGGAGTTCTGGTTCTCGCATTACATTGAACGTAGTTTGTCAAACTAGCTATTAAGACACAAACCGAAAGCTTACACGTCGCCCATGAGGTGGATACAATCCACTTGAATTCCTGGGCCTGGAAACGTCATGTTTTACATTCTTCATTCTAGACTTTACACTCCAACAGCTTCTAATGTAGTAGTACGTAATTGAATGAGGATGGAGCATCCAAGGAATGTCAAACTTGACATTTCCATACCTCCCACAGAGTCTGCTTGGCACTTTTCCAACACTGTGACATATTGACTCGAATGGGTTCGCATACATGTACTTAGCCTGTTGATGTTCCTGGGCGCACTCGCTCCGTGTTGATGAAGACGAATATACATGGATGTGTCGACGCGGAAGTCGACGGGGGATATGACTGTCCAAAGGAAGAATATGAGTTCGCGGAGGCGAAAATGATCTTATGTCCTTGTAGAGTTTCTGCTCAGGACGAGGAGAACAACATACAGAATACAACAGCAGAGTATGGCTGAGCCCATATACGGCAATCATGAGAGCACTTTGAATCAGAAACCCTCCCCTGCATAACCTCGTATATTATCTCGTGACCAATGAGCCTCCATAACAGCTTCGATCCTTGCGTTCAATCAATCAATCAATCAATGTTCAATGAACCTGTTGCAGTCTAACTAGGTGCGTATGACTATGCAGGCCCGGGGCATGACGTACCCAGATGGATGATCGCGTATCAGAAGTGAAAGGACCTTTATCCGTTACATAAGAGGGTCACCTATATACGACCCTCATAGAACCAGGGTTAGGGTCCGGTGGAGGGTCCAAGATCATGGACCACCCGGAGGGTCACTGCCAGGTCTAGGCATATCCTTCACAAAAGGTGGGAAGATCACAAATTTTTAAAGTTATATAATATTAGTTATATCTTATCGCAAATGCTAAGACTAGACTAGAACTTTATAAATTTGTCCTAGAGAAGTGGTTTTATTAGTCTATCACTAGTTAATCCGCTATAGGGATATAGTTAAGTTCGATCTCTCCGCGAAGGACCTATTTATAGATGAAGTACCACTAGATATTAATCTATTTAGACTAGGCAATGGTGTCAGATCCATTACGTCGCCCTTTGAAGTGAGCTTCTCCCTCCCTCGCAAGAAAATATGTAAACCAAGTTTTAAATCCTCCATTGTCGAAGAAGATTCGTGATGTTGCTGTTTTTTGAGCGACACGTATTTGTTGAAATTTTGTTCTTCATGCCTTTGGGAATTTTTTTGACGAGTCCAGTTGTTTTTTCGATTGTGTTTAACTTTGTTGAGGTCTTAATCGAGGGTATTGAGCTTTGATCATCAAGCGTTTCCTCATTGGAGTTCTGAGACGAGGATTCAATGTCCATATCGGAAGGACGATGGTCTGCCGAATTGATTTGGAGAAGAAGCTGGAAATTGATGCCTGGTGTAGACTCGTCAATATATGTCTTCCCAGTCCTGCACAAATTGTTGAATCCATTTCCATAGATTGGGAGAAGCGACAAACATGTCTTTCCGAAGTCTCGGCGGGTGATTGATAGTAAACCGTGTTTTCCATTCGGATATGAGTGTTAGCTTCTTAGCTATTGTCTCTCTGATATCCTTGTTTCGAAAATAATCTACTTCATCCTTTTGAATTTTCGAAAGTGGCTGATCCTCCTGTTGAACTTCGTTATAAAGCCGGATGTAGTGAGGCGAACTCCACTGTCGTAAGAAGTAATGACCTAGGTCCTGTTCAGGCCCATAGGCAAAGTCCCAGACTGTAGCAAAGAGAGTGAAATCACTAATCGAGTCCAGGTTGAGGAGCCGGCTCAATCTCCAGGAGATTTGGCTCCGTTCTAGGGAATCGTGATATCTATCAATCGATCTCTCTTCCATCGATTCAGGCATAGCAGAGATAAAGCCATCTATAAAAGGTATATATAACTTTGAACTAATTTCGTCACGGTATTGTGGCAATCCTGGTGTGGTTAAAAGCATCGTTTCAGGGATGGATGAAGCGAATGCCCAGTCGATGATACAGGTGATGTTATAATCATCATCAACATATATGTTATTGACACTCAAATCAGGGTGGCATAACGGAAAAGTCTCCGAATTGACAGTTGGGAGTTCAAGCTTCCGTATAATGTCGCGGAGAGCGTCGCCTGCGATGATATAATCCAGCCTGTTGTCCGACGAGTCGGTCTTGCCTCCAACGGTCACAAAGTCGTTCCATAGGTTCACAGCGCTCTCATATTGTATGCTGGATTGATAGTCATCCCGCGAAGGAACAGGTGCCACAAAGCAATGATGTGACAACTGCAGACATTCTGCATGCTCTAAAAACGCAGAAACAAGGCTATCGTAGAACTTTTCCTCGGAAGTGAAAGGTCCTCGTGGGATTTCCAAAGAATATCGTCCATGTAATATATGACCACGCGAGAGACATTCCTTGATTTCGAAGAATTCATCTTTAAAGAGTGAGCCTATTTTATCAAATCGCAACTGCGAAAGCTTCCAGGTAATACCGCCTAACTGGGAGAGAATTTTGGCTTTGCTGGGAGTCTCTAGGTCAGGTTGAGGAGAACCGGCTGATCTCCAAAATTTTGACAGCGGTCTACCAGGTGCCTCACTGATAAGAATGAACGGAATACCGATATCATTATCGTACGAAGCACTGTGATAGATTAGGACTAGAACATTGCGGTCTGAGAGATTTCGTTACCAATAGTCGTATACTTCTGGAACTGGAATATCGCTATGAGCTCTGAGGTATTGGAGCGTGGCAGCTTCACTTGCCAATAGCTTTATTCCCATTTCCATTGGCATAAACGTTCTAGGGTGTGGAGATCTAAAGACCCATCGTACCCTATCTTCAAACGAAATAAAGATAGCCCAGTTGAAACTTCCCGAGGCAGGACGTTGATCCGGGTCACAAGCACATAAAACACCCTGCCGCAGCGTGCTCGCTTGACGGCACAGAGCTTGAAGGTCAAAATCGGCGTAAGTGAATATGTCGGGTTTCGGAGGGGACATTTCGATGGAAGAAATTCGGGAAGGAAAATGGGGTCAAAAAGGATATAGGCCGTTGGGCTTGCAGGTCGAAAGAGTTCCAGGGATGGATGGTTTAGTTCCGCTTCAAATGATCTACTCTTGAAAGCGGTGAGGTCCAGCTGATCATCTGGAAAGTGTCTCAAAGCTACAATTTCAGTCCCAACCCCGAAATTGTGAGGGGTTGAACACATGTAACCGACTTCCAACCCGCACGTCAGACGTCTTCAAATTGTTTTTGCTTAGTAGCATACCGACCGACAAGATTGAGCGGATGGCAGGGAGGGAGGGGTAATATACTGGAAACCGCAAGTTACTGGCTTACCTTGCTCTTCGGGTCAGTTGGAGAAAGCACAATCAATCAAGCTGGTGCACGCCGAGGAATATGGGAATATTCTTCCAGCCAGATATTGTATATTCTTGTTGGCGAAGGCTTGGTCTTATTGAAACAACGACATGGACACATCAGTCTTAAACAGATTATCGAACTTCATAAAATGGATTCCGAGCTGATATTTCAACTGACTGCGTCGACAATAACATCAATTTGCTGCGGAACAAGTCTTGCTTTCTGGCTCCTGTCGATCAAGGCTATGAGCTTGCAAAGACTGAGCAAGGGACCACTCATCTCCAGTCAAGCTTGAGAATACGGGTTTTACAAGAAGCAGTATATGCTCTGGAAAACTGTATTGAAATGCGTGGAGAAGGGAGAAAGCTATCTAAGTTTGGAGACTATGATATGCTGGTGTGGTCCCTAAGGGTTCTTAGGGCCTAGTATATATGCCGCTGCAGTGACAATCGGAGGTTCCGATTGCCCCTATGATCTTTTGGCCTAACTAGCGGCCTGGTTACTACGTGGGATTACACTATGAGAGGTCGTCGGTCATGTGACCGGGTCGTCGCAGCAAGACCAGTCGTCAGCGCACTGTACAACATAGATACGGAGATAATAACAGGACTGTGTGGGAAAGAAAGAGCGCAGCATCAGTTACAGGTGAGATGACCTTTCAAGTTATCAGAACTGTGACCGGAAGAATGGAACATTGAAATGGTGCATTCAAAGTAATGAGATGACGGAAATCGTTCATGCAGAGCAGGAATACAGCATTGTCATGGATATCTCCAGTGCACTCCGACCTTGAACTAGCTACCACTAAGTACTCAGTACAGCATATCAACTGCGGATGGAAATAAGAGTTTGTTTGGAGAACGAGTTTTTCATTGAGCAACCATCTATTACGGCAGCTGCACAAATAGAGATAGCGAATAGGATTTCCAACAGCCACCAACTACACAATTGTCTACGGCGACAACATATCGGCACTACTATCGCAGGTCGTATGAAGGGCATCTGTAATCTTGTCACAAGTTAGCAATTGTTTGCAAATGGAAGAGTCAGATTCCAAGTCAAAGGCATGTGTGTGAGGGTAAAGGCATGGCGTCATCAAAAAATTAGAGTGTTGTTGTTGCATTATTTTAATCTTCAAAGCGCCCCGGAGGGGGGCATAATGCTCGGGGTTAAAAATTTATAATCATCCGCCAGAGTGATGTGTGATTGTGGGCAAGGGGGAAGGGGAGAAACAAGTAAGACTCACCAATTCTGTGGAAACGAACAATGGGCGTAACTACGTCCATTATACGAGTCCTAGGTTTCCGCAGGAAATCCATTGCCAAGACATGTTGTTTCATTCCCAGTCGCTATTTCAAGCGCTGGTTCAAGTAAATCTAATACATGGCATTCGCATCCCGTCGAGGAAGCGCTTAGTCGAAGAGACCGAAGCCCATGTCCTCATCGGACTCCTCCTCCTCCTCAGCAGGAGCTGCGGCAGCAGGAGCGTCACCACCGGAGGTGGCGGCAGCGGCGACAGGGGCAGCAGAGGCGTACGCATCGGGGTTAGCGATGCGATCCTTGAGGTCATCAATCTCAGCCCAGCTGTAGTCGGTGGCGATAGCAGCGGCGAGGACCTTCTTGTATCCGTTGATGAGGGAGTGGAAGACGGAAGGAACGGTGGGGTAGTTGGCAGCCAGGGAGACAGCGGTGATGGTAGCAATGGCCTTGGAGAAGGCAGACAAGAGCTGCTCATCGGTGATGTCGAGAACATCGGCGCTGAAGCACTGACCGTTCTCGTAGACCTGGGTGATGGCCATACCGTAGGTGAACGGAGAGATGTTCAGAAGGTTAAGGAGGGTAGCCTCGGAGGCACCGACCTTGTTACCGGCCTCAACAAGCTTGAGGTCGGAGACAATCTCAATGGTACCACGAGCAATCTTGGTGGGGACACCGAGAGCCTGGAAGAAGGCGGTCTTACCGGGCTCCATACCAGTGTTACCAGCGGGAATCCAGACGTCATCGGGAGCGAAGGCACCGGCACGAGCGGGAGCAGCGACACGGTTGGCAAGGATCTTCTCCTTGATGGACTTGAGGTCACCATTGGTGAAGATGAAACCGACGTTGCCACGGACGTGGGGGAGGAGACGCTCCCACTCGGGGTTCTCAGCGACGAAACCCTTGAGGGCACGACGAACCATAGTGTTCTTACCCATCAGGACGACGGCCTCACCACGGAGGGACATACGGATCTCGTGCATCTGCTGGGAGCTGACATTGTCAACTCCGACGATGAAGATGGTGCTGTACTCATTGAGACTGTGGCATAGCTTGTTAGAAACTTTGGATCGAGCCAATTGCCAGGAGCCATTGAGAGTGAACTAACAGAGTACGCAGCTTCTCAAAGTAAGCGGACTTGGTTGCTGACTTGCCCCCCATTTCTTCTTGTTTTTAGTGAAGATAGGTTGTTTAAGGGAATTTTTGTGGTTAATGAAGGAGAAGAAAAGAAGAGCTGGGCGATTTCGGGAAAATCAATTTTGGTGGTGCGCTCGCTAGTGGGTCACGTGATGTGAAAAGTAGACCCGCCCAAGATGGAGAGAGATGGCGGGAATTCGATCAGAGAGATCTTTAGAGCTCTGGTTGTTATCTGTTGTGTTTTTACCTGCAATTAAGACACCATTGGGACAAATCAAGAGCCGATTGATCATTCGCATTCTGTGAAACAAAGCTCTTCATTATGGCTGGTCTCCAACACCCGTTCAGCTGTCTGCGATATGTCAACAGACAGTCAGCAGACCAATCGGATATCCTTATTGCCACTGCTGGTCGCAATCTCTATTCTTATGATGCGTCCAGTGGTCAACGGCTGGATGTGTGGCCACAGCCCGTAGACGCCAATGTGGAGGATAAAAGCTCTGACGCAGCTCCCACATCTGAAAAGCAAGGCCCCCCAGAAAAGCGAAGAAAGCTGTCTCCGACCTCCGATGAACAAAAGGATGCCAAGTCTGAGTCAAACCCTAAAGATTCGAACAAAGAGGCTTCCAACTCCTGGACCAACATTCCACTTGTGACTGTTGCCCATGGCAAATATGTAGTGATTATGACCTCCGAGGACAAATGTGTTCGAGTCCTGAGTTTGGACAACGAAGGCAAACTTAAGCAATTGAGTGCTCGGTAAGTTACTATTTCCCTTTCTACGCGCTCGGCAAACTCATCATTTATAGCACAATGCCCAAGAAGCTCTCTGCGCTCACTCTGACACCGGATGAAAACAATATCTTGGCGGGTGACAAATTCGGAGATGTGTATACTTTCCCTCTAATTCCAAGCGGAGAGTACGTGAAGGTCCAGGCTCCAGCAAAACCATATGAGCCATCTGCCACAAACCTCACGGTACACACGAAACGCAACCTTGAATCATTGGAGCAGCAAATGCGACAGGCTGCTCTGTCCAAGACTAGCCAAGCAGAGCGAGTTGCGTTGAATTTCGAGCACCAAGTCATTATCGGTCACGTTTCGTTGTTGACGGATTTGATCTCCGTTACCCGGCCTGCGGACTCGACCGTTGGCAAGCGGAATTACATCCTGACTGCGGATCGTGATGAACATATTCGTGTCTCCCGTGGTGTTCCTCAAGCCCATGTAATTGAGCAGTTCTGCTTTGGTCACACTTCGTTTGTCAGCTGTTTGTGCGTCCCTTCGTTCGAACCCAAGGTTCTCATCTCGGGTGGTGGCGACAACTATCTGCTTGTGTGGGACTGGCTCAAGAACCAGATCTTACAAAAAGTTGAGCTTCCTGGGGCGGAAGGAGAAACTACAGTGCGCGGTATTTGGGGTGTTTCCCTTGCGCCTACCGCAGACAACACTGATCCCGTGAAGGCTATCTTTGTTGCACTTGAAGGGTACGTTCCGGTAACTACTGATTATGTGTATCATTATTCTAAAATCTAGAGCAGGTCTTCACAACTTCTTTACTACACTCTCGAAAGCGACAACATGATAACTCACCAAGACACCCTCCAACTGTCAGGCAACGTTCTTGACGTGGTTGGCATTGATTCAAGAGGCTCTATCCTTGTTGCTGTGGATACATTGCGGGAACCCAATTCGACAAGTGCCTGGAAGTCGTCTTCCCAGCCTCCTCTCGAAACCTTCCGGCTCAGTTCTGGAAAGTGGACTCCTGCAGAGGACTCCGTGGTCACTCAAATCAATTCCGAAGGCACCTCAAGTATTCCTACAACATTGGAGCAGAAACAGCAGAAGGAGCTCAATGACTCAATGTATAGTTTGGGCAACCTACGGAAGAGAGATGAACCGTACGACGACTAAAAGCATGTTTTTGATGAATGTATAGCAAATGATTAATTAGAGTGCCAAATATATACATGTTTGATGCAATGGTCTGTATCACGGTCTATCAGAAGGAAATAAGCAGCGTGATTATAGCAACACGTTGCATAATATATATGTTGGGGGCAACCCCCATAACCTTCGCAATACCAGTTATTTTCGCCTCATACAATCGCGATGTTTCCCCGTCAGTTCGGTCATAGGGTTTAGGGCCTGAGAGATCTGGAATTCTCTCCGTAGGTAGGCACCTAAGTATCCTATGGCTAGTAAGCAGTGGCATGATTGTGTTTATAGCCACCATTCCCACATCTACCTAGGTAGTTAGCCTGAGACATTATTAATTTATCTCAGTAGCATAGGACTGTCATACCAAGTAGAGCGCTTGATCAGCAGTAGAAGTCCTCGAAGAAAGCTCTAGTAAATATGAAGGCCGATAGATGAACCGGGAGAACAGGTTGTCTAGCAAGAGACAATAGATGTGTCGGTGATGTCCAATCGCTAAACGCACAACCATGCTAATCAATTCGACGAATCCAATTCCACGTATCATTCAATGGAAAAGATATACAAGAATAGTTAGAAGATACCTCGGGAAGGCACCGAAGTTACGTTGGGAAGAAAGCGTCCACTTGCCACTCCAATTTTCCGATCAAATCGCGGGCCGCGGCAACCGGAGAACCTTCTTATAATCCCACTTCTCCCCCTCCATCTCACTTGCATATTCCACCAACAAAATGCAGGAACAGTTTGAGCCTTTGAAGAATGACTTGCTGCTGAGGGCTGCACGGGGTATTATTCAATATGTTATTTTGTTTTAATCGGAGCTGACAATCGCAGGTGAGAAGGTGGAGCGTCCTCCGATATGGGTTATGCGACAGGGTGAGTCTGGTTTGGTCGTACACGCCCTCAAGGACTAATTGACGTTCTTTCTTGTTCAATAGCTGGCCGGTACCTCCCTGAATACCATGAGGCGAAGGCGGGCCGCGACTTCTTCGAATGCTGCCGTACACCCGAAATCGCATCGACCTTGACTCTCCAGCCCATCGAACGTTATGAAGGCCTCATCGACGCCGCAATTATTTTCTCCGATATCCTAGTTATCCCTCAGGCCATGGGTATGGTCGTGGAGATGCTGGACAAGAAGGGACCTCATTTCCCCGAACCCCTCGATTCGCCGACAGACGGGCAGTACGAGAAGATCATGGCGAAGAATGTGGATGTGAAAGCAGAGCTTGACTACGTCTACAAGGCAATTACCCTCACACGATTCAAGCTGAAGGGCCGCGTGCCCCTGATCGGCTTCTGTGGTGCACCATGGACGCTGCTGTGCTACATGGTCGAAGGCGGTGGTAGCAAGCTCTTCGTGCAGTCCAAGAAATGGGTCTACAAGTACCCTACCGAGGCGCAGGCTCTTTTGCAGAAGATTGCCGAGGTCTGCGTGGAATACCTCGCCCTCCAGGTCGCTGCCGGAGCGCAGCTGGTGCAGGTCTTTGACTCCTGGGCTGGCGAGCTGTCTCCTGCCTCCTTCAAGTCGTTCTCGCTTCCTTACCTGCGCCACATCTCCGCCAACCTGCCCAAGCGCCTGCAGGAGATGGGTCTGGAGCCTGTGCCGATGACTGTCTTCGCCAAGGGCGCCTGGTACGCTCTGGATGACCTTTGCGAGTCAGGCTACAATGTTGTCGGCTTGGACTGGCTCCACGATGCCGGCGAAGCCATGCGCATTGCCAACGGTCGTGTGACTATTCAGGGCAATGCGGATCCTGGCATGCTCTACGGCGGCCCCGCAGCCATTACTGCCACGGTTGAGCCCATGGTTGAGGGTTTCAAGAAGGGCAAGCAGGGATGGATCTGCAATTTGGGCCACGGTAAGTCACAGCTTATAACCTGGGGCTGCATATCATTTATATCTAACTGTCTTTCTACACAGGTGTCACTCCATTTGTCGACCCCGAGCACCTCAAGTTCTTTTTTGAAGAAATCCACCGCTTGACCGTATAATTTTTGAATCTTAAGAGCGGTCGGCTTCTTTCCCGACTCAGATTAGAAAACTACATTGGATCTAAAAACATCTTTTGGACGTGAATATTTTCAATTCTCGGGGTATTTAGGGTTATGATATATGCAGGCCTTATGAAATTAGACAGCGATATCCTCGTTCCTGTATGGCAGACACTGGAGTTAGTCTTCATGATCATGAAACAGCCAATCCTCGATGCAACTGCGAGCAGACGAAGACCTGCTTTACGCATTGGGTTAGACCAAACACCAAACACAACATACCATAGCTCAGGCTTATCCTTCATGAACTTGGCCATAATTTCCTTGCACTCGGCATTGTCCAAGACAACAATCTCCTTGCCCTTGTTGAGAAGAAGCTCCTCACCGCCCATGAAGCTCTTGTTCTCACCAATGACAACCCGGTTCACCTTGTAGAGGATGCAAGCGCCGGTGCACATATCACAGGGCGAGAGAGTGGTGTACATAGTAGCACCCTCGTAGGCCGAGGCAGGAAGACGGCCGGAGTTTTCGAGGGCGGACATCTCGGCCTTCGGTATGTTAGTAGTAGTTCATAAACTCTAAGATAATTGATCTCGATATAGATTGACGATTGATATCAATTGGAGTATATCACGCTATACTGACATGCAAGATAGCGCTCCCCTTCTGGACACGCATGTTGTGGCCACGACCAAGGATCTTTCCATCCTTTGAGACCAGGCAAGCACCGATTGGCACACCTCCCTCAGAGAGACCCTGCTTGGCCTCTTCGACAGCGGCAATGAATCCAGGATCTTGTTCCATTTTTGAGTGTAATTGAGCTTGAATGTGGGCTACTGAGTGTGGACTAAGGAAGATAAAAGGGAAATCTACTCCGTGCTCCGTATCGGAAAATTCCGAACCCCTCTATGACGATTAAGCCGAGTGGACCGTGAAGAGCTTTTTTGCCCCTCTTTATCGATAAGAGATATGTGGCTGAGGGATGCAGGTGGCTGTGGGGTTGTGGCGAAGGTTCGAAATTTCTGCGCGATTCTTACCGGTACAGTTACAGGGATTGTATGCAAGATACAATATCCAAAAGATTGCATCAAAGACACAATTTATATGAACTCGTTGACCCCTATAAGTCGTCATCGCATAATTACAAGCTCCACGGCTTCGTAATGATTTCACAGACATCTATGCATTTGGGCTGGTGAGTGAAATGCACGTTAGTCAGCTGTAATAAAAAAAACCAAAAAACAAAAAAAAAACATGGAAACACGGAGAAAATCTGCGAAGGTCATCGAAGCTCACCGAATCCCGTAGAATCGCGCTCGGGCCATTCAGAATATACATAGAAGCCACCAGAAGAGATGAAGATGAAGAATAATGTGTATTGAAGAGGCAATTTGACGATTCTGGATTGAAAAATTAGTAAAATCTGCTTCAAAGCGAGACAAAGAAAACTAGTGTAAAATCGGCATTCCTTAGTTGGTCTGGTAATCTATTGTGTCATTTTACGAGGCTCGTACAGGTGCCTGGGTTAAAAAGTTACTCAGCCTTTTTTTTGGCTTCGATTATTATTATTCAGATAACCATCTCGCCCTTTCTCTCCTCCACTTTCTCATCTCCCTGGACTTTCAAATATCCGCAATTGTCCATTCGGCGTCTCTCATATAAAAGCCGTTTTCAAAAAGTTTTCGGCGACTTCGTCCCCCCCCTCCTCCCGCATCATTTCTGGATTCCACGAGAATACTTAATATCTTCTTACGCTTGATTCCCCACATACTTCACAATGGTCAAGGAAACGAAGTTCTACGACACCCTCGGGGTATGTTAAACCTATACTTGACTGGTGCTCGAGCCGGGTTGACTGCTTCAGAATCTGACATGGTGTTTCTTTCATTCAGGTCTCTCCCACCTGTACCGAGGCTCAGCTTAAGACTGCCTACAAGAAGGGCGCTCTCAAGTACCACCCTGGTATGTGACACTCTCAGAGACTCCCAATAGCATATACATGAAACATTCAGCTGACATCTTTTCGTCACATGAAGACAAGAACACCAACAACCCCGATGCCGCAGAGAAGTTCAAGGAGCTGTCCCACGCCTACGAGACTCTTTCCGACCCCGAGAAGCGTCAGCTCTATGATCAGCTCGGCGAGGAAGGCCTGGAGCACGGCGGTGGTGGCGGCGGCATGAACGCTGAGGATTTGTTCTCTCAATTCTTCGGCGGCGGCGGCGGTGGTGGTCCCTTCGGTGGAATGTTCGGCGGTGGCATGCGTGAACAAGGCCCCAAGAAGGCCCGCACAATCCACCACGTGCACAAGGTTAACCTCGAGGATATCTATAAAGGCAAGGTGTCCAAGTTGGCACTCCAGAAGTCTGTTATCTGCAGTGGCTGTGATGGCCGCGGTGGAAAGGAAGGTGCTGTCAAGGAGTGCGCGGGCTGCAACGGTAGCGGTATGAAGACTATGATGCGCCAAATGGGTCCCATGATCCAGCGCTTCCAGACTGTCTGCCCCGACTGCAACGGTGAAGGCGAGATCGTCCGTGATAAGGATCGCTGCAAGAAGTGTAACGGCAAGAAGACCGTCGTTGAGCGCAAGGTTCTTCACGTTCACGTCGACAAAGGTGTGCGCGATGGCCACAAGATTGAGTTCCGCGGCGAGGGTGACCAGATGCCTGGTGCTCTGCCCGGTGATGTCGTGTTCGAGATTGAGCAGAAGCCCCACCCCCGCTTCCAGCGCAAGGGCGACGACCTGTTCTACCAGGCTGAGATCGATCTGCTTACCGCTCTTGCCGGCGGTTCTGTCCACATTGAGCACCTTGATGATCGGTGGATGACCGTTAACATCGCCCCTGGCGAGGTTATCGTTCCTGGTATGTGACTTGCCCCTCTTTTTCTTCTGCACAAGCCTTGTGAGAATTTTCACTAACAATATTTTTTAGATGCCATTAAGGTCATTCACGGCCAGGGTATGCCCTCATTCCGCCACC